AATACAGTATGCTGTTTTTGGTCTGCATCTTTGATTGACAACACTGAATAAACTCCTGCCAAATATTGCTGCAGGAGAAAGTAAGAAGTTGCAAACAAATAGGTTATACACAGAACTCCCCTGAAACTGCCAACAGCACACTTTACAAGATTAACAAGAAGTCCAGTTGTCAATTTTTGCTCTACAGTAATGAACATGTACTTGTGCACCAAATTGGCAGCTTCCACATCCAGATGCCCCATTGTGTCGGTGTAATCCCATCACCTCCTGCAGCACACAACGTCAGTGTTCTAACTCCCTGCATTCCTGAGGGATCAGGGCAGCTTAGTTTTACACCCTTCACTCCTCCCTACTTGTATGCCTCCCTTTCACATGGTGCCATCAATTGGTCATGGTCACTATTGCACGAGAGACTGAACAAAACCGGCCACAATTACAATTAAAAGGCTTATTTTAAAATACATTTTTGACCATTTTTTTTTGCTAGTTAGTGCAATGAAATCAATAAAAATATGCAGTTTTTGTCCCAGTTTGAGAACAAGATTGCAGGTGAAAAATGGCAAATTATTTTGTTGTATATTCATGAGTGATTGAGTGTAATATTTAAATTATTCATGCTGCTAGGGTATTAACAATCCAACAATACACCTAAAAAATAATCAGGGATTAAATAAACATAACCTTGTGATGTTCTGCTAAGTCAGTGGGAAGCAAGAACATGCTCTTTAGAAGTATATTCTCTAATTTTTAATCTAATTCTTATAATTCCTAAAGTAACACCATGTGTTGGGACTTGGCTTTAATAATTTTTTCCTACTGTATCAAACCTATTTACAATGCCTATAAAAACTACTCCTGAAGATAAAAGTTATAACCTGATATAGACAGATTTTCATATGTGGTACATTCCTTCCATTTCTTCATTAATTTAGCTGAACTCTAGGGGTTGTACTGGGCTTTAGAGATTTTCTGTACCCATCCCCTGAATTATACTTTTCAATAACTTTATTTCTGACTTGCTTGGAGTGTTCTTTTGTTTCTATACAGTAGTGTTATGCAGGAACACTCATTAACTTGTGAATGGACTTTCCAGACACACTCACTGCACTCAGCTGACCTTCATTCTACTCATTGTGAGACTACCAGCACCAATCAGCTGGACCTGTACTGAAATAGTACAATTTAAATATCTATATGGAATCTATCTATATGGAATCACATAATTAAAGTCATCATTAATCAATTATCATTGATTTGTAGGAATCATTTTTCACCATGACATTGTTTTTATCATTTTGTTTTGTTCAAAAAGCTACATTTTGTTGATTATGTGGAAACAATAAAAAAAAGTGTTAAACATTCAAGGAGGTGAGTACTTTTTATAGGCAAGATAACTGTGACTTCTGTGCACCATCACACACATACTATTGCATATATTATAGGATAATAGCTGCAGTAATTAGAAATGTCAGAATAATCTAACCAAAGACATTAATGCCAAGTGATGAGTCAAATAATAATAATAATAATAATAATAATAATAATAATAATAATAATAAGTAGAAGAAGAATCAGTTCATACCAAAAGGGTATAAAATTTGTAAGAGATCTATGTATTGCACAGTTCTGCATGAGCACGGAATAAATAAAATGTCTGAATAATCTGAGTCATGCAAGAGGATTTATGCAACAGTAAACATTTCAAATATACATATTCAAAACTTTTCACAAACTCGTGTTTATCAGCTTTACAGTGTGATTTGCATTTTATTCCCTTTCTACACCAATGACTGTTCTCCTGTCCACTAAAATAACGCTACTGTAAAGTTTACAGATGGCACTCATCCCTGCTCCCCAGGGATGAGTCCTGGTGGAGCAGCTGGCCAGATGGAGCAGCTGGTCTGGTGGAGCAGTTGGCCAGGTGGAGCAGAGACAACAATCTGGCCCTTAACACACAAAAATCTAAGCAACTGGTTGTGGATTGCAGGAGGCACAAAACTAGCATTCGTTCACTCATCACAGATGTGGATTGTGTGAAGAAGTTCTCAACCTTTCAGTTTGTGGATGTTGAGGTAAAGGACGATCTGACCTTGGGTGTCAACAACATTTCACAATAAAGGCCTGGAGGAGACGTCACTTTCTGAGACTACACAGATTTTTATGTTCCATGCAGCAGAATATGTACTTTAATCTCATTGTTATTAAAATAAGTATAACAATGATGTTTTCCATTGGCAACCCAGTCCCTATCCATCATAAGTACCAAACGGAAGGTAGAAGTTATTTTCACAAAATATCATGACAGTAATAAACAAGCTAATATATTTTCCAATTAATTGTGGACTGAGCACTAAGAATAACTAAAACCCACTCACTTAATAACTTTCCTGCTGTATTTAATGTGTCTGCTCAGGCTTAGAGGGAAGGGAGGCAACTCTTTCTGCATGACTTGCCTCCCTGTCCTTCATTTTTGAGTTATCCTCTTTTCTCACTTTTTCCTTTTTTATCCTTATTTTCTACCCCTCACACTGAGTCCTCTATCTTTGTGTGTCTGACCTTCTTGCATGCACTTGCACCACCTAATCACAATGCCAAGCATATCTGACTGCAGTGTTTTCTTTTCTTCCCAGACAACAGGAGGACAAGACACTCAGAGGCACCCTAAACAGATGGAAGACTTAATAAATCTTTGGACCAAAGAGCAAAGCAAGACCGTTAATGATTTTTTTTTCTATAAATGATCAGCTAATAGCAGTTGTTGGCAACATTTTGGGTTTTTAGTTATCCCCCTGTGCAGTGTAAAATGACAATGAAAAAATGCTTTTTTGCTGACCGTTTTGTTCCAAGAAATGTCAGTGTGCTAGTTCGCAGTAACCAGTCTTGCTCCAGGAAAATGTTAAAATATATGTTTGGAAGTGTTTGATTTGAAAAATTATAGAATTTCAATAGGGTTATATCTTTCTTTTGAACAAGGCCCAAGTAAGCTATAAGTGTAAACATTCTTAATTTTTTCCATTGCAAGAGAAATGTGGTGTTGAAATAATGAGTTTATATAATTGTATCTGACATTTCTTACTGGGAAAAAAAATATGTAGAAAAGATTCGTACCTGGCTATGGACAGAAATCCAGTATAAAGCAACCCTAAACCTGATCATTCTCCAAGTGTATACTTTACAGATCAGCATTCACACATCTTGGTGCCCCTTGTAGCAAACTTGACAGAGTGCTTGTGCCTGCGTCAGCAGGCAGAGGAGTATCAGGTTTTCACTGTCTGGTGCAACTGATTTCTTCACCCTGACACTGGACCATGTGAGCCCACCAACATCCCACCGGCTGTGATACTTGTCTTCGAGGTGTTGACTCTACTATTGCCTCTTCAATCACCAGAATGGTAGTGGGAGCTGCAGACATGAGACCATCAGCCAGGGTTGAGCTGACACAACCCCCTCCCGTTACAGGCTTTTTTCCCTCAGTCGGCTTTATAGTCATTAACAGGTGGGGGGCAAAAATAGCTATGGAGAAGTCACATGCACGCATGTACACACAGTTACAGAGACGGGGTTTGAGTGGGTGCAATCTGATACGATTTCAAGTGTATTTAAAATGGGAAAAAATGGAAAAATCATTCTGCACAACTGTTGCAGTGAGAATAAACAAACGGATTGACTTACAAAAGCTTCAGAGTGGCTGTGTACCTCACACACGCAAACACATTTTAGGCATTTAGTTTTGGGGAAACTGAGTCTTTTAGCTAAAAGAGAGGAATGTGCATACACTTCCTCAAACAAATACCAACATATATTTTCTTCTTGAAACTATATGCAAATGTGCACCAGAAAGTACACTCACGGAACATGGAAATTACCACAGAGCGTGCTTTTTTCAGTGTGTATACGCACACAGTGGCATTTAACTTGTATTATTTTTCAACCCCTCCAGCCCGGCAACCTATCCTGCTTCAGACGTAGCACCAAGCTACTTTGACCTCCACCCCTTTCCCACCCTCTGTCACTCCCTCTCCTCTCCTCGCCTCACCTCGCCCCACCTCGCCCTCCGTCACTCCGAGCAGAACCACACACACAAAAAGCAGGTCAGCAAACAGGTCAGCTACCTCGTTAATGTCATTGTTGTGATATTTGTGAAGTGACGGCGAATATTGTGAGGCACGCTTGCAGCAAGTGTTAAAGTGTGACAAAATAAAAGTAATGGGTTTAACTTTGGCATGGTGGTGTTTTTTTTAGCTTCTCAAATCTGTTTTGTGTGTATGGGAGGGCAGGGCTTGGAGCGAAAAAAGCCGCTGATCATCATTTTCAAATGCTGCCTGCAAATAGTGTTCACGGAGCCTACAGTCTATGAGATGTGGTTCAAAAACCCCATGGAGCTTTTTATGTTTGTGAGATCTTCACGTGGATTTGTTAATGCAGTTTTTGGAGGTTGTTTAAACCTACAGGGAGCTTTTTCTTGGTTTTCCAATTTGTCCTACTGGATGCCTTATAAGGAGCACGATTACCAGCTTTAAGAGGAATGGGGAGAATATTTTATTCTTACATATGCTTAGCCGGTACAAATACTCTTTTCAACACTCTAATGCTCTAAACCACCTGCATCAGTCTATAATAAGCTGCAATGAAAGGTGTGAATACTTTTTGGTGTTGTTGATGACTACTGCTGTGCATTTGTAAACCCAGGGGATGCGTATTTATCACTGTCATTATGATAAAGGAATGCTGGTTGCATTTTTAGCACTAATTAAGAAAGTATGCAATGGTAAATAACTATTGCGAAAATAGAACCGCTCATTTTTGTTTTACATTTGGGAAAAATGACCAGGTTGATTTGAACTCAAATGCCCAGTAAAATGCTTTAAAGAAAGACACAGATTGATTTATTGCAGAGTTTTAAATTCTTTCTATCTTGGTAGCACGATTTGCTCTTATGGTTGTCTTTAGGCTCGACATTAAAAGCATTGTTGAGGCAAAACAAAAATAAGTTTTTTTTTACTTTTAGATTTTCACACAGTTGTTTTGGTTGCAGTTTAGTAGTTTGGTGGAACTCCTGTCTAGATATTCTTCCTTACATATTAATTATTGTACCTGGCAACACTTCACCTTGAGGTGTAACCAGGAGCAAGACTTCAATTCTTGACAGTGGTATGCAAATAGTTTTTGCTTTGTTACATTTTTGTACCATAGTGTAATGAAGGCGGTCTCATGTTTCACTTTGCTAATGTTGGTGTGATGCTAGACATTGAGAAGCTGTAAAAACAGTGAAACAACACTGTAGTTGTACTAGACAGATACAGTATTGTGTAAAACTTTTCAAGCCCCTTCAACTTTCCATATCTTGTCCTGATGCTACTAAATATGTTGATGTTTTTACTGTAATCTTTGTCTTTAGAAGGAACCTAAGTGGTAATCACAGTGTCAGTTAGTCTCAGTATAAATAAACCTGCTCTTTGAAAGCATCAGAGGTTTTTTTCGGTGAACAAACACCATGAAGACCAATCAATACAACTGTGAATAAATATGCAGGGTTAGTTTATTTAACAATATTTAAATCTCATTTTACAAAACTATGTTCAAATCAAAAATGAAAAGTGGCACAACTGTGAATTTAGGCCAGAGTAAGATTGCATTTATCAAACATAGAACCAAGAAAACAACTCCTGTAGTTTTTATGATATTATTGCAAATCACAGATAGTTTGTTTCCTTTTACAATCCTGTGCTACTGAGTTGATCTTTCATATAAAGAAACTAAATAAAACACCCTGAAATATGAGGTTGTGATGTGAAATTTTTTTTGGACAAAAGCAGTGTGATTATTATTTTTGTGATAATTATTTTTGCAAGGTACAGGACACAACTGATAAAAAAAAGCAGGCTTGATTGTTTGCCAAATTCTTCAGGAATGTTACACATTGTGAAAAATGTGCAGTTAAAATAATGTGTTGTTTTTGGTATTGTCACACTTACTTGGAGCTTTCAGAGCACCTCTGAAAACTTGTGCCGTTACAGCTCTTTATGTTGTTAACAAGACAGATGCTGCTGCGTCGGTAAAGGATTGTGGTCTCCCTGGGGGATGTGTTTCGTTCTTCCAAACAACAAAAACGATTGCATGTCAAGTCTGTTGTCACTACATCCGTGTGGAATGCAGCAGCACAGCTGCTTCATTTACAGAACCAGCAAGAAGTGTTCCAGATTCAGCGTATCCATGCAGCAGTTACTCAGAAAGTCTCAGAAAAACAATGTAAAAGCCTTTGACTTGACAATGACTTCTATTTTACAAATGGTTTCAGAATATATAATGAAGGTTATAAGCTGAGAAGCTTTATTTAAAGATTGTTTATATCTATTGTTTTAACTTTACCTCCTAGCACATTGAATCAAACTAAATTTATAGGAATTTGCAACCAAAATTACAATAAAATTACTATAATGCAACTACACACCCATAAAACTTTTTAACTTCACCTTGATGCATTTGAAATACTTTTTAGCATTTTATTGTGTCGACTTTGCACATTTACAAGCAATGTTTTCTTTTTATGTCAGTCTCAATGTAATTTTACAGACAGTATAGTAACCTAACCTTCACTTTAATTAACTTACTTGTTAACATTGAATGTAATCACATTGTAATTTAATCTCAGTATGCTATATTTGTCTTATGGGAGTGGGGGGTTAGTTAAGAATGAGCTAACATTGTTAATATTGATGTTTCTATTTTACCATAATCTTTGACTCTATTTTTACCGTTTTCTTTGCTCTTTTTCCAATCCTGTTTCCAGTAGCCTTTCTGCCTTCTGCACTCCAACGGTACTCAAGTACCAGAAACACTCCTAAAAACTCCCCTGTAGTCTATTTTTGCATTTTTGTATCATGAAGTACCTCAAACTAATCTTTTCTGAACCTTTTGTATTCTAAGACTCAATGTTATGCGTCAGATACATCTGTAGAGAGGGATTCTTACCCCCATTTTTTTATTTCCTGGACAATCACAAATTGAGAGTAAATAATCCATTTCCATTTTTATCCCTAAAAAACTACAAATCAATTCAACCACCCAACGGACTGAGATTTATAGCTGGGACTGCGCTCTGTTTTAAACAAGATGTGGTCAACTTTTTTTCTGACTGACGAGGAGGGCCGCACCGTGGCCCCGGGAACAGCAGCAGCAGGTGGAATGGCTGCACCAGGAGGACCAGCACAAGGCGCAGGGGGCCTGGCCAGTTTGATGGGTGGACGCAGCACCTTTGGTGGGAACAAGAGACGCAGGACAACATCAGCTGGACATGCCATGAGTGAAGCCCAGGAGGGAAAGGTGAGAGGCTTTGGATAGTGTTCATGTATTTTTCTAGTAGTTTGAAATTTTCTTAAATTAAAACAATAATAAATTAAAACAATAATATTGTTTGAAACACCAGCTCTAAACTGTAGTGATAGTGCTTGTAGTACTATATAAGGCCACTGACCAATATGTACCAATACTGTTTGTGTGTTATTGGTTGATTCTTTGCAGTGTCTCAGTAATAAGTTTGAATGGTTTCCGCCCCCCCCCCCCCCTCCCCCAACATTGGCTTTGTGGATAAACACTGTAACGTCACTGTACATTTTATCAAGATCTTTCAAAGATTTATTTTGATTTTGTCTGTTTATGTCTACAACTTCAGGTTTTTTCTTGGTCATAGCAAAATATGCAAAAAATAAATCAATCAATAAATAGAATAAGTTAACAAGTGGATGACCAAAGTAATCAGGCCTAAAAAGCTAAATTATTTACAGCAGAAAAAATGATATGGGTGCTATGTTAGCAAAGTTATCTTTCTTGGACTTGTTAGTAAATTTTCTTTTATCTTTTTGTCAAATCAAGCTATTGTTTTCTGTTTTGTGTAGACAATCAATCATGGAATCAAGCATGTCAAGCAAAACAAAAAATACTTTGAAAGTGATTATGTTCTGCACTTACATTAATTGCAGCTCCTACCAAGACTGCCATGAGGCTTAAGGAAATGAGAATGAAAGCTATCATCAAAGTCAGACTTCAGAATGACGTGGAAAGTCAGATTTGTTTAGTCCAGCTGACCAACCCTAGTTGGTTTTCAATCAATTTCTTACACCCAAAGAAGGCAGTGTGGTCATTTTTGGTTATTCAATTTGCATACTATGAATTACAATCAGGAATATCAATGATTGTCAGAGAGCTGAGCCGTTCAGGCACTAGAAAGGAAGCCATGATTTGGCTACAGTAAGCACCAAACTGATGCTATGTTGTGATATGTGTAGGAGTGAAGGACATGAGGCCTTTTCTAATGTTATTTTCAGTGTAGAAGCATAGAAGTAGCAATGTTTTTTGCCATTTCTTAGCTGGATTGAAAGAGAGTTTTATTCAACAACTGAAGACTATATATATTCCTGAGAATATAAATACATACACCAAAATTGCATTTGTCAAGCATTATTAAATACCCAGAATCAATCAATTTGAAGATAGTGCAATGCTGAAAGTAATGCAAAAGAGGTAGCTCAGATGGTTGGAGAATTTCAATTGTAGCTTGGGTTAGGACTTTGTAGGTAATGAATGAGTCAGTTAAAACTATTCAATGGTTGTCAAGTTGAATATGAAATAATACTGAAGTGACTCTGTGTCAGAACTGATATATCAGTGATGAGCACAATCTGAAGGATAATGAAATAGAAGTCAGCAATGACAACTGAAGTGCTGCCTTTAGCATCCAGATTGTGTTTTTCTTTATTTGTTAAACAAACCTTTTTCAGTGTACAGTATTAATGTTTTACATAACCATTGCCTTATAAACCTGGTTTACTTTTCTCACAGGTAAATGTTAACTTCACATACTACCCTTTTCACATATTCAACCTACACTTGGATAAAGACAACCATGGGAGAGTGTGTCAAACAGGATAAATCAACAGTTTTAAAGCTTCACTGCATGTAGCTCTATATTGACTGGCGTAATAATCAAAATGTACACTGATTTTAACTTAATACCAATCAAAAATAAAATTACAAGACTTACAAAACAAATACAGAATTTAACTTAGCATTGTTTCTACTTTAACCTCAATTCCCACACTTCATGAACAAAGAATACTTTCTCTACCTTTAACGTTGGCTGGACTCACTTTACGCTCATGCTCTGAACTACTTTATGAGTCAACGAGCAACTAGAACTGAATATTATTCAAACAAAAGCAAAATAAAACTCCTAAAACATAGAGTTAGTAAGATATCACGGCATTCTCATGACCTCCCCCCCGCAGAACTTTCCCAGCGCGGGCTAGCATACTGCCAAATTTATCCTCACCTGATAAAACTGGCAACTACTAGCAAAACGGTGCACAAAAACCGTGACACAGTGCTTTATTATGGTCATATAAGTGGTAAATATCTTACAGAGTAGTCTTGGTGTGTAATAAATAATAAAATAATAATAAAATAGAAGTCAGCAATGATGACCGAAGCGATACCTTTAGCATCCAGATTGCGTTCGAGGCAAACCGGAAGTCCGCCCCAAAACCAACCTGGAAGCAACGCCCCCAAACAAAGGTTCCGCTTCGCCACTACTGCTCCCATCCCAACCTCAGGAAAGCATTATAAATGCAGGCAGATTAACATGCTGAACTGCAAACAAAATATAATTAGTTCATTTTGAAAAAAATAAAATAAATTATACATGAAAATATTTCAAAATTATAAAACAACCAAAATAATGTGGTGGCATTTTTAGGTGCACCATATTATGAACATATTGTAAGTGAGATGGCACTTGAAAGATGCCTACAAGAGACGTAAAAAAGAGAGAAAGAATTTCAAGTCATTTATAAATACATAAATTCTGATTTATTGTGTTTTTCTCATAAGATCAAGCTGGCATTTTTTGTGGCCATAGTTGGTGTCGTCCTGACAGTCCTGGGAGTCGGGACAGAGTTCTGGGTGGAACTGGCGCCCCCAAAGAATTTTTATAACAATCAGGTAAAACATCAAACAGCACTTCCATGACTTCTGATTTAAAAGTTAAAAAATAAAGCATGTAACAGGAGGTCAGCATCAGGAAGAGGAAAAACCAAACTGAAATCTATTTATTTATTTATTTTTTATTTTTTTTATTTATTTATTTATTTTTTTTCAAAACAGAGACTGACCCTGCTTTATGTCTTGTGTTGTCTGGTTTTTATTTTACAGACATGCCTGACAGCTCACTATGGTCTGTGGAAGGGGTGCACTAAGACTCTGTGGGTGTCTGATATCGACCCAGAACGTGAGAGCTGTGGACCTGCGGAGCTGCCTGGAGGTGACTTAAAGATATCTGACTACTTGGATGGGTTCATGGGGATATTTTTGATGGCTGCATGTTCTGTTTGAGGAAGTGAGGTTCAGGCAGATGACTGACAGGCCAACTGGCCGACTGTGAAACCCAATGGACAGCTCAGCTTGAGGGAGTGAGTAAGCTTGTCTGAGAGGTCCACCTGACTTTCTGGCCTAGACAAATCACGTCTGGCTCATAGTGTGACAGCGATTTGTCTGAATAGTTTGGATGAGTAACTGGCTGAGTCACTGTAACCATGTCAGGTTGAAATGATCCTCTCTTTCTTCATAACAGGTACAAAAATACATGAGCTTCTGACTAGGCTCTCTTTGCAGTCAACAATTCAAAAATTGTTAACTCTTGTCCCATGAAAATGATGTTTAATGGAGAACATAGGAAACATCAGACAAAACCAACATTCCAACTTAGAAAACAGAACGTTTTGTTAATGGTTTCATTAACTGATATAATGGACATACTGATTTCTGTAAAGTTTCTATATTTTTTTTTCCTTCAAGTTTTTTATATAATATATGTTAAAATCACAATTTAGTTATGCAATCGCACACAATTATTTTTTTATTTCTCCCAAATAAATCAGTGTTAACTAATTTTACTATCTCACAGCTTTATATTGTCTTACTTTTTCATTATGTAGTTACTCTGATCCAAATCACTTTAAAGGTTTCTGTTTTATATTTTACCCAGAAGATTATTAGGGATGCACTAAACAGTAAATCCGTTTTCCATGACCCATTGAATATCATTCAAAAGGTAACTCATTTCAGTAACTAAATTCACAAAGTGAAGCACATTATATAGAATATTTACACATGGACATGGTTTTCAAACCCTTTCTTTCTGTTAATTGGGGCAATTTTCCATCTCCAGGTAATAAAATATGAGATTATATATATTATTGTTATAATATTACATCAGACCAATAAAAAACTTCATGAAAAGTACCTTTTTTCTACTTTTTAATTAAATAAGCTAACTACAATTGTCCCACTTTGGTAGAAAACAGATTTTTAAATTATTATTGATCCAAAACCATAATAAGTATGAACATAGGTAAAAGATGTAATTATTATCTTCACTACAAGTTGTACCTTCATCTTACTTGATGTCGGGATTTGAATTTTCCCAACCGTGGAGCAGACACTGGAACTCTGATGGCTGATGAGATATGAAAAACGCACAGCAGAACACTTTGAGGACGAGGCTTTCATCAGACTAATTAAGAGTGATGTGTGTGTGTGTGTGTGTGTGTGTGTGTGTGTGTGTGTGTGTGTGTGTGTGTGTGTTTGCTTAGTGCGAGGGAACAGATAGAGGTGTCAGAATCAATTTGACTGCCAAACACTAATTGTTGTAACACATCATCTGAACAGCAGAATACAAATTGTACAGGAAGCTTTAGGTTGTCACCTTGAGCTTGTCATTGACGCTCATGGCTGATTATGGTTGATGGAGAACAATTAAAATCAAATTGTACAGGGGTGGGATGTGAGAGAAGATGTGAGATGTGGCTCCTTGAATTTCAATAAGATGTTGATCAAGATTGCCTGCCGCCAATGCTTGTTACCTGGCAGAGTCTGTGTCCATGTCAGTTACAGTAAGCTGTTCTTCCTTTTACTGCTGCAGAATCCAACTGCACCTACTTCAAATTTTTCACCACGGGGGAAAATACTGTCATGTTTCAGAAGACAACACACAAAAGTGAGTCACATAATGTCCCACCTCATCTACCCACATCCTACTTTTTCATTGTTTTTTTCCCACATACCTCTAAATACCTGCTTTTTTTTTTACCTTTGACCCTCCTCTTTTGCTACTATTGTCTTCTTCTCCATCATCTCTGTTCCCCTCTTTATCGCTCTGTTTTTTATGTGCTTTCCTTCACCTCTTCGCCTCACTCTTTCAGGTTGACTATTGTCTGCACTCTGAGTGCTTAATATGTATTCCACCCACACTGTTTGAGTGTCTCTGCGCTGCTGTCTAACCTCTCATTTTCTCTGGCAGTTTCATAATGTATTAAGATTACACAGTGCCATAGACTGAATAAAGAAAGACAGACGTACATATAAATCACATTGGTGCCTCATCCCTCTTGCTCTGTTGGCCTCCATGTAGTAATTTTGATAAATATAGTAGGGATAGCTGATTTGTTATGCTTTAATGGTGTATTCCTCTTCCTGTGATCAGATTTGAATGTGGCTGCAGCAATGTTGGCCCTTTTCAGCCTTTTCCTGATGGTGATGGGAGCCATCTGCATCACCATGGCTCTCAGTAAGGAGATTCTCTTCTTTCTGAAGCCAGCATCCATATGTTTTATCCTGTCAGGTCAGTAAAGGTAGCCACAGACTAGTAGAGTTTATATGAATTATTAAACTAAATGTTATTTTTTTTAGAAAATAAGCTTTTTTCTCATATCCTGTTCTGGTCTTTCCCTCCTACAGGAGTTATGGTGCTCATAGCTCTGTTGGTTTTCCACCAGTCTGTCCTATCTTTCTTGGCCAGTGACCACACGGTTCCTCTCCACCATGAGCTCTCCTGGTCCGTGTCGTGTATCGGCTGTGCAGGCGCTGTTCTCATTGTGGGTGGAATCCTCTTCCTGCTGCTGGCGCTGCCCTGTAGCCCGTGGCAGAGGTGTCTCCCTCATAAGGAAGGCAGCAGCTAGTGGCTTTTAGGTGAAGATTTCTGCACTTTACCTGCTGAAAGGAAGGAGGAGTGGAAAGGTGAGGATGTTTCCCTCACACATCCAAGCAAAAAGATCACTTTCTCTGTTTACCACAGAATTGAAACAGTAGAAACTTTTTAGATATTTAGTATTTAGGAAAAAATAGCAAGGACTATTTTCATTTTAAAAGATGAATTTGAGTTAAGGTCACAAATATCTAGGGGATGCATCAAACACCTCCTGGCTGATACTGATATTCAATCTTTTGAGGTCTGACCTGCTGATTCAAACACTCTTAGTAATACAAACTAATTTGTGTAAACTCTGTTTCATCAGTTAACTTTCTAGTGAGACTTTTAGGTCAATCAAATTCATTTTAAATATTTGTTTACAAACTATCATGTTAATATTTTGTTGCTTAATATATGTTTAATACCTTTACCTTTACAAACTCTCCTAAAAGACAAATTCGAAATTCTGTGTACATTATGTCTTCTAAATACAGAGCAGAGTATTGCTAAGTCTGACGAATGCAAACAAAGTACAACTATTTGCTTGCATTTTGTTTTTATTATCTATGGCTGCAGCAAAACCCTTAATAGGTTGCCACATAAGTTGGTAGCAAAAAACATTGGAAAATAATTTGTGATGAGAATCAGAATAGACTGGAATGACATGCAAAACTGCCGCATCATTACGACAGCTGTCAACAATGACACAATGGCTCCAGTCAAACAAGTTAGCCCCGCCATGCCTGCGCATGAAACATGATCTCAGGGATATTACAACAACAAACAAACAAACATTTAAAGGGCAGCTAACAATTAATTTCTGCACAGATCACTAAATTAGGCCCTACACACTGTTTACTGTGTGGAGTACTTACTGTATTGCTTCTGTATTAACATGCTGCATAGCTAGTTGAGGTAATAGCAACACAATGTGGCATATATGAGTAGCAAACATGTTAAGAAAACAATCAAATAACAAACTTTAAGTAAAAATATACATGGTCTTGCACCAGGTTGAGTTCTCAAGATGACTGTTTAATTGTAAAGTTACTGGAAAAGAAATATACATCTTGCCAGTTGTTTGAATTTTATCTAAAATAACTTAGAGCTGTAATTGGAGGCAAATGAATTGTTGTATTCCTCATCATTAAATTTATATTCATAACTACATCATTTGGAATAAGATTATGTCAGTCAAGCAGATCCTTTGCTATTTGGATAAATAGCATATTAATTTTCAGTACAGGATAGAATATAAATATAGTGACCTTTCTGACTAGATTTGTGTGGGAAACATGTGAATATTGTCTTATAAACCTACAAAGTTTGGAGGAAATGCACTGTTGCATTTGTTACTTACCAATAAATGGCATCTGGAAATTTGACAATCTGTTAGGCTTATGTTTCTGATTATATATTTCAATAAAAAATAAGGCAAACTTAAATTCACAGTAATTCCAGTCACTGGTTTTAAGGTTGTTAAATTCCTCAAAGTTTTACATAAAATGGTTGTATTCAACTACAATGTTTTTTTTCTCCTAAATATGCCAATATTGAAAATGTGTTATATGAAAATATTTGGCTTTGCCAGCTGTATTGATTTGACTGCATTCTTTTGAACTTTTCTGTTTTTCTTCTTGTTTCTGGTCTTCACACTTGACAAATCCTGATAAATGACAACATCAATATGAACAAAAACTTTCCTTATGAAACAAACAGTACATTGACCTCCAAACTGAGAACCTCAGTTAGAAAACATTTTTTGTTTTGTTTTGTTTGTACTTCCTAACTTTTGCTGTGTTACCTTTTGTTTTTGTACATTTGATGTTAGGTTGATTATTATAAGAGCAAAGATCATCAATGACTATAAAACTACTGACAGGTGACTGTAACATTGATCATCCACAATGTTGATACTCTTCCTACATGTCTTACTTAAACACAGCTATTGTACATAAAAGAATTACAGTGCTGCCTGTCAAAGCAAATCAGTTAATTTCTAGGAATCTAATAAACACAATACATTCAGCACAATGTCCACATCTTGCACTGGGATAAACATTTCATTTAGACAATGCTTTGAAAAATATTTTAATGTTTTGGCGTTTATAACCCCCTTATGCTGAATATAGTTACACTGTTCACATTTGTATGCCTTGAATACTAGTTTGCAGTCTTTTGATTTTTTGTCATAGAATCCTGTTGTCACAGTGCAGTGGATATAATCAAAGCAAAGAAAACATTAGTAAAAATATTAGCCCTCCTTCTCATTCAAAGGAAGATCCAAATGTGTTCTTTTAATACTTTATGTGACTAACCAAACAGATATTGAGTCAAAGAAGATACCACAGTATTTGAAGCCCTCCATACCAAAGTAATGTCACTGTCGGTTCTCAATAATGTTGTACAATGGATACTACTAAATACTACACCAGGTTCAGGGTTTCCTTTAGATTTGCATGAGGCCTTAGTAAAAATCATTTAAACTTATACTTTCTTCTTTTATAATTTCAAGATGTAAACTTTTTAGTTTTTGACTTAGATGTAGATACTTTTACATTTTGAAGTAATGAACTAGCAGGGAATGCTCGCCTTGGTGTTCAAGTATATTAAGCCTCATCTGTAAATACTAAAACAGAAAAGAAGAATCCAAAATGTGTGTGTTTCTGGCTGTTGTACCAAACCCATACATAGCACTGGCATCAAAACCAAGGAATATACCAGACTCACTGTGTTCTATTTAGTTGTTAGGATATTTGGTTTCCTATCTGACTTACTCCATTGTGTCCTGCTGTTGTTCCACCTTATGACATTTTCCTAGTTTGCAACTGCTTAGCTGTTTGAGTTATCCCAGTTGTATTTTCATCAACCAGGGTTTGACAATTTGTACTGCTATAGTGATGCTTGATATCTGTCTGATAGTTTTCTATTAGTCAAATTATGCACTGTATGTTAACCATAAGAACAAGTACATTCATTTTCAAATGAAGAGTTGGATAAATACAATAGAAAACATTGTTAGATGGTGAAAATGTGGAAGCTGTGAGATGTTACCATGTTTTTTTTTTTATTTAAGCTTTTTTGTTTTCTGATGATTTATGTTAGCACTCATAATTCTCAATGCCTGGATAGAGCGTGCAAAATCTCTGCACCTTTTTTGATCTGAATCAATTGAGTATGAATGAGTTCATTTTATTATTAAACATGACATGAATAATTAATATCGTCCTCTCTCAAGTTCCATTTCTCTCCTATTTTGCACTCGCCACACGTTCTCCTCTTACAGTTACTGCCTCCTCTGTCCCTGCTTTTATGACCAATCCTACTTTACACCTCATAATATAAATGACTGGGGTAACAGCTGCATGCTGTGCTTTTGACGTCTTGTTTTGGGCATCTGTTGCTTGTGCATTTTATGTAGTAAAGGACTATGTAATTGTATTTAGCATAGTATTTATTGCCAAATTATTTTGTAGACGTAGAAACTCAAACTCAGCCCTTTGACAGAAAGAATAAAAATACAGATTTTAGTCATAAATGTAAACTTGTGTATATATGCTATATAAGCTCTTAAAGTGTTTGATTAGCTGCAATTGAATTGTTTGGATGCACATAAGAAATAAAAAGGTATTTGCATTACGACAGTTTTGGTGAAAGCTAAGGACCATGAGTGAATGCAAAAGCTAGTTAGTTAAAAAGGTTAGTTAAAAAGTATATTTTTAACTAACCTGTGGACCCGGACCCATTTGTTGTAAACAACCACATTCTCTCTGTAGCATACTACAAATGCCAGCAGCAAGTATTTGTGTCATTTCAAAGGTGAAATGACACACAACAAAGGTTCCAGGCTAAATTTGAACTCGGATGTTTCAGTAGCATACTGCAATATGACACCTGCATGTTTGGGCAGGCCTGGACGCAGGTTTGACTGTGTTATTTATTTCCTTATATGCTCTATAGTTTTAGTGAATAAAACATCACAGAATACTTATTTTCTTTTTCTAACAAATAGTTATAATTGGGAAACTTTGAGACGTGATTATTAGCTTCTAAATAAGGTAATTGTTATCTGGTTAGACCTAATAAGATTTATTGATTATATATATAACAAAGTGAATAGAATAGAATAGAATAGAATAGAATAGAATAGAATAGAATTATTTGGCTGAGATTTGCTTTTTGTTGATCACTTGTTGATCATTTGGCTCTTCTTTTACTGCTCACAGCTCATCTTTGTCACCATGTTGACCTCTTTCCAGGCTCACATCTCTCAGAACTCTCTCCCACGCTGTTTGGCTAAGAACGCCTGCTAAATATAGACCATAGCTAATAGGACTGACGTAACAAGAGAAACACAAACCTGGAGAAAAGCTGAGCCTACAAACATACTCAAATTTACTTGCTGAAATACGCTCACGTTGCCCTCTTGCTCTTGCTTCCATACCGTTTTATCAGCTTATGTGCATCACAAAGAACAAATATAAAGATGTACACAGCCTGAACGTGCTCAATGCTGAATGCCTTATATCATGCAGCTCAATCGTCACCAGATCTGCTTTACTACCCTACAAAGAATCAGATTATGCATCTTCAGGATAAAAGAAGATGTCATAAACTTAATTGAGCCTGTATCCGTTGCAGTAAAAATGTACGTGTATTGGAGTCAGCAGTCTATCATAGACCCTGCTCTTTCTCATACTCCCCCACCCCTAGCAGCGCGATATTCCCTCTGGCACATGTTCTGGAATAACAAGACACAGTTAACTTGTTAATTACAAAAAAGACAACCAAACTCTGAAGCACAACCTGTTTAATGACACTTTGCATATTGGCACCTAATATTTTACAATCACACACTGGAAAAACTGAAACAATGCCAATGTTAAGAGTAAAATAAACATAATCAGCATTCCTGTTGGGTAGTGTAAAGACCCCTCAGTCTTTACACTTCTATGTGTCACTTTTAAGTCTCACTGTTTTATATGCATGATTGTGTAGATGTTGTCAACATTATGTTGTTGTTTTAAATGACTGTTACTTCAATTTTTACTAGTTTTAAGATGTACTGTTTAAAAGCCCATCTAGAGTTAAGTGCTGTAAATTAGCCGTTGCTATAAGTAGTATGACGCAAAAATGGAACTTCTGTTCTGTTCAGTTTGTCTGTGTCGATGTGTCTGTCCCTATTAAATACACTTAAATAAATAAATAAATGAGTCGTGGGGGTTAGCTTTCAGTCTTAGCTTGTTTTTGATTGTTATTTTGTCAAGGTTAGATTTAAGCTGCAGTGCTTTGAAAGTTATAAAAATTCTTCCCATTATTTCTGGAGTGAACACCGAAGACAAAAATAATGAGACTACTAGTAAAACTCAGACATCATAAATAAGTAATAACTGAGCAAAGACTTTATGATCAAGGTTAAGAAAGGAGACACTGAAAACCTTTTTTATTTAATTTTATTGTTTTCTTACATGCTTACCAGCAGGTTTTTATGAATGCTTTACATATTCTATTCTCAGCATGTGTTTGATAAAGGTCATAAAGTTCCACCTGCTTATATTCGTTGAATATCACTGGCTTCTATTTAATTTAATTTATTAAGGACTCAATGGAAATGTGATGATAATTTAAAGGTGAAAAATATAGTGTGCATAAACTACAGTGCTATTTTGAGATCAAACTTCCTTTAAGATAATAGCTTATTTTGCCAACCTGCTGTTATAGCATCATCCTGCAGGAAACTAAATGAGGACAGAAAAGTTTTCTGCTGATAGTAAGATAATACTCTCTTCCAACTTTTTAACAGAATCTTACTTTAAAAGTCCTAAACTATACTGTTAAAAATACCACTAGAAATAGTAAATTGAGTAAATTATTTACAGCACTTTTCCAGTCATAATGATCGCTTCACACTAGAACGGCATTCACCCAATTACACTTATAACTTTGTGCACCAATTCACAGTTCAGTAAGCAACTTCAGATCCAGAGCCTGGCCAGGGGAGTATCAACATGTTACAGGAGCACACAGATATCAAGCTCACAACTGGACTGCAAGACGACTTTTCTTTCCATTCCTTCTACTAAGCCACATTTAGCTCCATGTAATTTTGTGAGTAACATTACAGTGTAGATTGCAAACCTCACAAGACATATACTGTGAATGGTTAGGTTGCCATCGGAATTCCATAATTCACCTGGGTTCCCACTGATGGATCTAACTCATTGCAAGTGAAGAAGGATTTGAGGTCAAGTGTAAAACAGACATGAAATGTTCAGTGACAAATTCAATCAAATGTCTTTCCTGTCTGCATGGGCCCAAAGCTGTTATCAATAACTGCAGGCATGAGCTCCTCACCACCACAGACTATAAAAAGACAAGACATGCAGACCGCAGGCCTCAAACAGAATGACGTGAGGAAATTAAAATGTGAAGTGTCTTCTCAGGTGGCAGAGTCCAGTTAACTCATAGGCTGACACAAGGCTATATCTAAAATTGACTCTTACTATATGCATGACAACATTGTTGCAAGGTGCCACATGGGAGAGCTTAACTGTAGACGGACTAAGTCGTTAGCATGTATTGGGCTTTGTTTAATTTGGGACACAGACTACCGAATGGAAGCTCTTACCAGCCAAAGAACCGTGGGAAATAGACTCCAGGAAACACACATTTTATGTTCTTAAAATCAAACTAATCTTTTGTATTGTCCAGAAGCCTCTTCCACCCTTAAACTCCAGGCCAGAACACTGAGCTAACTTTCCAGGTGATGTATTGTGGAAGAAGTTTCATACATACGAAATGAAAATAAATTGTGGAAGCCTAGCACCCTGTGGTGCTCCTTTGCTGTTGACCACCTAGTTTGACGCACAATCCTTCAGCTTCTAAATCTGCCTGTCAGGCAATCATTGATGCAGGTAATTGTTGAGGCCTCCACTTGTGTCTTCTGGAGTTTCTGACTAAGCAAATCAGGCTGAATTGGGTTAAATCCACTGGAGAAATCCAAGAACATTCTCATCACAGTGCTGCCTGCTTTGTCTAGATGATGAGTTTGTTGAACCTGGTGTATTGTTTCTTTAACTCCAAATCCACAGAGATAAGGAACCTGCCAGGGATCCTGATATTAGTTTGTTTACTTACTTTGGGGAAACAGGAGTTTCTGCAGGAACTTCATGATATAAGATGTCAGGGCAACATGACTACAGTCATTGATGACTGATGGTTGAGTCATGGCATGTCACCACCAATGGTTCTAAACTTCCCAGTTCTTGGCAGATTGAATCATCCATCACTGATCTGCATGTGAACCAAATCACATCCAAATCGAACTATTCATTCTGGGTGGTTTTCTCCAATTAGTTTGATAAAAGCTGACATAACTGTGTGTTTGAAGAAGTTTGATGAAATGATCTGAAGAAGTGCACCTTCTCACTCTGTATTAGAATTTGCAAATGCAAGATGAATAAACATAAAGTTGGCAATGATTTTAGTTCTATTGTATTATTACACAGTACTGTATACAACAAACGCTCCATGAAAGAGTAGATGTAATCAGATCCTCAGTGCCAAATATTGTGGTAGTCAGATGCAAGCTATAAAAATGAGAGTGTGTTGAATCAGTGCTTAGCTGTTGCTTATTGGGGGGGTGAGTAATGGGAGTTTAATAAAGCAAAACAAAGTTGTGCTTGTTCCTGCTGCACAAAGAGAAAGATGATAATGGAAACCAGCCAATTAAAACCTTTAACATCAAATCTATTGCTATTCAACCCATCACACACCTGTGTCCAGTGTTCATGTCTGCAGATACATTGTAGGGATTAAAATATATTTGGTTTGAATTGGGCTGTCAAAGGTAAGCAGATGGGTTATCATCTTAACATTGTTCTTAAATTATATATATAATTTCAGTTGTACTTGTTTCCATGCTTTCCTGTTTATTTTTCTACCTGGACAGCTGAACATTACTAGAACCATTTACTGTAAATAATCCACTGGACATAAGAAATTATACATAGAGAACTTTATTGAATATATCTATATATTTATATTTTGTATATACTTGTATTTTTTTATCTTTTCCAGAGAGAATCTGTATATTTTATTGCTTCCCTTTATCATTAGTGTTCCTTTCTTGAATCCATCTCAGTTTTCTCTCTGAAGAGTTTCAAGTTGGGCTCGTGTCAGTAGCCAAAGTGCTGGGAAAGGAACTTGGTTTTCACATTGGCCTCAGAATGGCTTTAACATTGGTACATAACCATAAAATAAAATAAAACAATGTCTAGCAGACAAAGTTATTACAAACACGTCACAAAACATATGTAAGCTTAGGACACATGTCAGTAGGCATGGGGTGGGTACCAGGTATCAAGGAATACCAAAGTTTAAAATGTTAGTTTCAAAACATTGTCATTACTCTCTATAATTTGAAATCTGCCAGAGAAAGTGCCAGAATGACAAGCAATTTCTCTTGTGTGCAGCAAAAAGCAATACCTGTTGCTGCCAATCAGCTGTTGCTGAGTGTTTTCTTGGTTGAAAGAAGACACCCATATTTTTTTTTCTTTCTGACAACAGAGGGAAAAAGAAAACTATAGGAGCACCACACATGGCATTATTGTGGCACGAACAGTGATAACTGGTGCTTATCTGCTTTACATAGAAGATATTGGATCATGTTATACAAATTTATTTAAACTTTTTTTTTTTGTTGTTGTTGTTTTTACAAATGCCACAGTACCAAGAAACAGTGATAAATTTACCAGCCCATGCCTACATCTCAGTATTTACACACATTTGTGCCTTAGAAATAACAGATGTAGCTTGTTGTACTTAATGTTTACTGTGTGAACACATTTAGCTTTACCAACACAGACCACAGGCAGCTCACTTTGCCAGCACTAAGGTTTCCAACTATCTGTCACAGGGACCACTGTCACCTTTTTAGTCCCAAGATAAAAGAGTTAGAATTCTGAAACAATATGACATTAAGAATATTGATCCATACCACCAGCAAAATAAATATATTAATATAAACTCTATCACCTACAGTTATACACTAGTTAGAACAATAAAAAACACAGATTTTAGGCTACGTTGGTTATGTTTCAAAAGTAAAACATCTATGCATTTCCTACAAGGAAATGATGACAAAAAAGTGGAAGAACGACAGAAAAGATAAAAAAACAGATAGGAACCAAAGTAAGATACAATAGACATTTAACAGGAACAAGTGAAGACAAATTATAAATAGTGAACAAATCCAATCCTAATATTTGATAAAAAATAATCCAATAAAATTTTAAAAAGTCAAACCCACAGCATAAAACAGAAGTAAAACAAAGTGTTACACTTTCAGTAAAATAACATATGTGTTAAAAAAGCATAATAGTTTTGAAAAAAAAAGTGCACTAAAATTTGCCCATTTATTATCATGGATTTATTAGAACAATAGATGGTTTGAAGAAAAAAAATAAGTAAACACTTTTCTAAAACAACATATAGATGTGCTCTTGAGCACGGCACGTAACCCCGAGTTGATCCAGGTTAGCTGTTAACCAGTTAGCCACAGAGGCTGGAACTGGGTAGTTTCCAGTCCGAGCGCGTTAGGTCGTAGCAGAACATTGCAGATGTGGAGCATAAATGTTCATTTACCTCTCCCAGCGGAAACAAATGCAAAGACAACAATAAAGATATTTCATAAAAACAGAAAATGTAGACTCACTAACCGTCCTCTTTTTATGCACCAGTTTTGATGTGACACTACAACTTTTGATTCCAACAGCAGGAGAAAAGAAATGAAGATGATTGTGAAAATAAAATAAAAACAATGTCATCCAAATGTATAAATACCCTGCAACAATCAGCATGATCATAAAAACACCAAGAACATGATAGCAACACTCAAAGAGTTACAATCTCCTGTAACCTAGAGATGGTCGTCACTCCTCATGTCCACTAATGATGTCAAAACTCAAAGTTTACCATTTACAGACTTTGTGTGTTTTTGTATATGTGGATTTTTTTCTACAATTTCATTATACATTTATTATTCTATTTTATTAAACAGTATATAGTTATAGCTATAGAAAGACAGAGGGAAGAGGAATTGGAGCAGAAGCTCTTTTTCTCTTCCTTCTTAATAGCAAGGGTTGGGCTAATTTGTTCAGCTCAAACTGCATTCAGATTTCTGTACATCAGTCTGGAACTTAAAAAAATCTAAGAGTCTAGTGCTGAATGTCTGGAAAATCAAATCAGAAATTTATTTTTCAGATTTTAACTACTTAGTATACCACCTTAAAAATACCCTGTAGAATGTGCTTCACCTGAAATTTGACTAACTTCTTGCAATTCTCTTATTTAGTGATGTGCTAGATACTACTGTTACACAGATAGTTTGAATACGCCAATATTTTGTACAGAGCAACAGATGACTGTAATTTTTAATTTTTGACTCTAAATAAAATTTCACCCCCTGAGTGTAAGTTGATCCCAACCCCAGCCTGTTGCTTGCTTTTTCAGCCCTTAGCAGGAACATTCAACAGATGCTGCCTTTGAGCCTCCAGTATCTAATTATTGTCATAAACAGTCATAAAATGCCCTAAAACATTTAAACCAATTAAATATCATATAATGTGCACAACATTCTCTCTATGAGAATAAAACTTCCTTTGACTCTGAGGCTTCCTGATGACACACCGTGACCATAATTTATGAGCAGAGTCAAAAGTGCAGCTGCTCACTCGTGATCTGCAATTAATTTCCGTTGCACTTATAGCTGCAATTATGATCATTCCCTAACTGAGAAACTTCAGCTGATCGTTTCAAAAAATATACTTTACCACAGCTGATACCTTCCCTAACTTTACCTATACAATATCTTGGATATCCTGATGTTTCACAAGAAAAGACAAAATATTTGACAGACACCGGAAAAATAATAATCTAAGTTCAGTCTCAGTTTGGGCATATATGCACTTTTAACAGTCTCTTGTTTAAACAATAAATAAATGAATATTAGGTTATGTTGTTTGTTTATAAGGTCAGGAGTCCTCATACCTCTTGAACTAGATTTGGGTTTTGTCACATCCAGTCACAAACTCTAAAGTATTTTACTCAGATTTTGAGTAATTAATAAATACATGGTTATGCATAATGGTGAAATTAAAATGGTTTCAAACACAAATCTTAAAAGTATGGCTTGATTTGGTATTGAAAAGAATTTAAAAGCATGATTCAGATGCCATAATGTTTATGTGGGCAGTGATGATGTGACATATTGATTTGTAGCTGTAGTGTTTTGGATTTTAGTCATTTTTGGTCTCATCTAATCACAACTTTCCTTCAGATTTGCCATAAACATGTCCTATGAAAGCTTTGATTTAAACTTTTTTTTTCTTGCACCTTTTCAATAAAGGTCGACTTTGTGTTATTCCAGAGTTACCATGGGTCACGGCTGCTTTTTCCATGTCCTGACAACTTTGTAGTTGTTCTGTTTCTATTTCAGATGATGGATTGAAAAGGGAACTGAAATGTTTGACATGAACCCTGACCTGTCTGATGGTGAAACTGGGGGTCATATTAGCTCAGCAATATCTCCGTATGTGAAGCCTGCATAGAAAAGGTGCATTGACAGTGACTTTAAGTTTCACAAATTATTCAGTAATTAGGTGACTTCTGAAGGAAGTTAACATAGCTGGATTTCACTTAGTAGCGTAAAAATAAGTTTTAGACTTTTATCGGCGTAACATTCTTTAAAAGCCATCTGGGGGAATTCCCCCACAGATGCATAATTTGGCTTCACTTCACATTTATATATTACTTTGTGTTAGCTGCACATATAATTCCAATAAAATACAGTAAAGTTTGTGACTATAAAGAAAGAAATTGTGAAAAAGCTCAAATGGTAGAAATGCTTTAGCCAGGCAGACACAGTGTGATAGAGAGTACAGAACTATTCAAAGTGAAGCTTGAAGTCTGACCTGGACACATTTATTTCTCTAACATGTCATTAAAAATAAATGGTCTTGTAGTGAGTCACACTGCTCCCTTGTGTGACATTAACATTGGGTTAGATGTGAGTGAGGTGTTACTCTGTGGACCAGAGGTCAAGCAGCTACTTAGGATCTAGAATTGGTCCCTGAAAAGCTCTTCACGTGGCAATCATTTGTGACATTCTGTTCCTTTGAACAGACATGTGACAAAACTATGGCTTGTATCATCTTGGCACGTCTTATTATTGGTCATCTTTGAGTGTTTCTGAACTCTTACGGACATTGTAAAAGCCAGATGAGACATTACATGAGTAAACTCTACAGATTCATACCCGGGCAATTAAAGGTATGAACTGTTCTATTCTGTCTCTGGGGTTATTTTATCAGATTTGCACAACTGGTTTAGTAAAAGAGAAAACAAAAGTAAACTGAAAAAAAAAAAACAAAAAAACACTGACTCTAATGTTTCGATTGTTTTAAGGCAGGCAGTTGTCATCAATGTCCACAGAGTATTAGGCGTTTTATGACTGTTTATGATATTGTATCTATGGCAGCTAGATACTCCCAGACTCAAGGACAACAACCCTTACTGTTGAAGTGTTGCCCACCCATTTTAAGCCCTAACTTTTTATACTTTTTGAGGCCCTTCTAGGCCCTTCTCTCTGAGGTTCCATTTTAAACAGGTGTTGTTTTCCTGTTAAGTGTATCGGAGTTGCTATCCCTGTCCCTTTTGGCTGTCAGCCGGTCCAGGGTTCCAACGTTGCCCCTGTCTCGCTCCATTGTAGCTGTTGAGATTGGGGCTGGCTGGGCCGGCGCAGCAGCTGCGGTGGAGGTATTCAGTGGCGCAGCATTAGCAGCAGCTGCTGCAGCCGCCAAGTTGGACTTAGAGTGAGATGGGAGCGTACCACTGCTTATCACCGCCCCTCCTCCTGCGCCTCCACTGCTGCCGCTGGAATCTTTCGGGAAGTAATTGTGAAGCTGATAAAGCGTGGCCCGGTCCACTGTGCCGTAGAGAGGTGGGGCGCCTCCTCCCAGGCTCCCCAGCTTGGAGTCCCTTGACAGGGTGTACATGGAGATGTCACCACCTCCACCACTCCCGCCACTGCTGCTGTGGTGTGGGTTGGGCAAAGTGGCAACAGAGAAGGGAGGAGCAGACGGAGGAAGAGTGAAGGTCTTGGAAGCTCCAACGGGGGACGTCTCCTGTGAACGGGGCGGGTCGGTGGAGCGGGAGCTGGAGCGGGAGCGCCGCCTGAAGCGGTAGCTGGGCAGACGCAGCATGGCATGCGTGGTGCTCTTGAAGAGGTCAGTGCGAGAGCGACAGCGCAGCTCCTTGTTCTTCTCAATGTAGATGTTGACAGCCAGGACTCCAACCATCTCAGCCAGGATGAAGGACAGACCGCCAAAGTAAAATGACCAGCCGTAAGAGTAGTGCCACTTCTTATCCTCATCTTTCTTTGGAGAAATGTCGCTGAGAGCTGCAGAGATGTATACTATCACACCAATGATGTTGCTAAGCCCTAGAGAGATAGAAAAAAATTGATGTGCTCCTTTCGCACAAATCGTATTCAGCTTTATGGGACTTTGCAAGTTGACACACTGGACAACTTTTTCAGTTGTAAAAAGGCAGGCGTGGTAAGAATGTCAATATGGATTTTGTTGTAAATTTATTGATCTCACTAATGTCTCACAGTAGAAAAATACCTGCAGTAAAGCTCCAGTCTTACCTGCTGCTACAAAAAGAATTCCTCCTCCGAGAATAATGTTCCTTTTGCTCTTGTAGAAGCCGCTGGAAGCAACACACACTCCGCCCAACAGGAGCAATATGGCACTGAGGATTGGAAAGATACTGGAAGCTCTAACCACACCTGCAGACGGCAATGGAAACATTATTGTTTCAGACAGTTTTGGCCAGGATCCACAGTTGATGCTACTTTTTCTCCCAAAAGATCAACACTACATTTTTTTTAATCATAAAACATAATTCTGGTGTTGTGGAAAATCTCTCCCTTTGAAACTTGAAACATTAATAGAGTTTTTCCTTCACTGTCGACCAAACAACCAAAAACCTCAAAATCCAGCTCTCAGTCTCTTTAACAGCTCTGGAAACTGAGCATTACATTATCTCATCCTTTAAAATGTTAATTATCAGGAGACATTAGGGAGGATTAAAATGTCAGATATAATCCTGATACACAACAGAATTTGTCATTTTAAAAGTATGTAACATGAGATGAAATTGTAAATGGACTTAACTTGCATACTCTAGCATTTTTTAATTTTATAATCTTACATTCTTTAAAATTAACTGACAGTCACACAATGTTCACGAATGACAGTTTAGAGGGGAAATTCAGGTTAAGTGTCTTGACCAGGTCTAGATCAACGTAGGTGAAATAAATTTGTAGTCAAACTCACAACCTTCTGTTTGCCAAACTTAAGCTAATTGCCCTGCTGACACTCTGTTGATTAGTACATTTTTTATTTACTATTTATCATGTCTAGTATGGTTTCATGTTGATGCCCAGTTCCTGACAGTTTAATTGATTGCATAAAAGTAAAAAAAAAATGATTAATGTCTGAATGAAAGCATCATGGGCCTCTCTAAATGTTATCAATGAGCATTCTCTGTATTCAGAGAAGATTGCTGAATGTAATTCAAAGTCCAAAGCTGTCAGAAGTCAAAGCTTCAACATTTCATACTTTTTTCTGCTAAAAGGATAAGATAACTTGATGTTGAGTGGCCAGTGGATAAGACCACTCATCATTACATTTTGGACAGATAAATTCTACTCTTAGGTCACCAAAGATAATTTGGGCTAATTGTGGAAAAAAAATAGAAAAAAATCAAGAAAAATAGTTTCGGTACCACTTTATTTGAAGGGGGGTGAATAAGACTGACATGACACTGTCATAAACATGACATAACACCTGTCATGAACATGAAAAAGCCTTCATGAATATTTAACCAATAAATCATTACTGATATAAATTTGTTATAAAAGTATTACTGATTGCACTTTAAAAATGAGGTAACTTTATGTTATTAAAGGTAAAGTTTAAACAGTAATGATTTATTGGTTAATGTCAAGTTGTCATAACAAAGACATTTTGAATAATGTCAACTTTATATTAAAAGTGTCATAATTTACCAAATGACGCTTTATGACAACAGTCATAAATATTCATGAAGGCTTATTCATGTTCATGACAGGTGTTATGTCATGTTTATGACAGTGTTATGACAGTCGTATTCAACCCCCTTCAAATAAAGTGTTACCATAGTTGCTTGTTATCCATTTTTGTTGTCTTTCTTTATTTAAAAAAATTGTAAACATAATACTGCAGCCTTAAATAAGTTAGTTTGGGCCAAATGTAGCAGATGTTCAGGAGCTATAAAGGTTCAAGGAGCTCAAACAATGAAAAAAAGAAGAAATCTACAGGCTTTCCTGGTTTTACATTTGATGTTTACAAGAATAACATCTACATGTTCATAAGGTTCTCTTGAATATTACTTAAATGATAAATATTTTACTTTTACTTTAGTTTTGCTTTTTTGATTGAAAAAAGGTAAAAAGGCATTTTTTTCATGACATCATTAAGCAAATCAAAATAATTATGCAACAATGTGACAGGTGCACTGGACATAATAGTTTATTCAGTTTAGAAAACTAAAACACACTAGCCTCCCAGCTGCCTTCCCAGAAATATAAACTTTTACATAACATAAATGCAATACATGCCTTGCAAAGTAAAAAATTAATGGTGGTGTAAAATGGATCTGCACTTACAATAGAGAAATGGATGTTGAAACACAATAAATCCTGGCTAATATAATCTATCAGTGAAGACTGTTCTTTCAATCCATCTGTGAAAACCTCAAAGCCCCATGCACCTGTGCATCCATAAACCCTGCAGACACACACACACACACACACACACACACACACACACACACCTTCAGCAACACTTTGCTTGAATCTGACATCCGTGCATTGGTGTCCGCCCACCATCCCCATTCTGGTCCTTTTTGTATCGTTGCGCAATTGAAACATTTATGTGTGTGTGTGCAAGTGTGCGTGCTGTTCGCTGTGCTGTGTGTGCGTACGCCACTGAACTGTTATTTATGTCTCGATGCATTTTTTTGTGTGAATTTGTGATGCATTTTGTAAGCGTTACTCACGAAGCAGATACTCTGCAGCATCTTGGTCATAGTCTGCGTCGTCGGGAAAATGATTGATCTGGGAACACACACCTCTCTTCAAGCCTGAACACAACACAGAGGGGAGGATGAGGAAGAGACAATGATGAAGGAATTGGAAGTACACTTTGTACAAAGCTGTATTTTTGAGGATTCATTTTATTCTAAAATATCTACTCATGAATGCCTGTAATCAGTCCAAGATCTCAGTAAGCCTTGTAGTTGCATATTTAAGTAAGCAGAAGTGAGATTTTTGCTTTTTGTGGGAGAACAGCTGTATGAGCACAATTATTGGACAATCAACAGTGTGCAAAATTATTATGCAACTGGAAGAAAAAGAGAATTTTTTTCATCTCACTTGTTGATTTGAATATTTTTAAAAGGACAAAATGAACAAACAACTCAAAATTTACAAATAAACTTTTCTGACATAAAGATAAAACCAGTCACTAACATAACTATCCATATTTTCAACAACAGAAGGGTTAAATTTATAGCGTCTGTCAGTTTCTTTGCTTCTAATGTTTAAGGAGGGACCACAATGATTAATGTCAGGTGAAAAGGAAACAATATCATTTTTCTTTCATCTTACAAGTCTTTTTTCTGAGAAGCTACGCAGTTTATTCAATGCAGCATTGTTCTGCCTAATCAAAGTTGTCTATTTATAAGATTCTGATTATTCTGAGTCCACCTTCTGCCCAAAATCTTCCAACTACTTCCTCTTCAGTTATAACACTTTCATCCATCTGGCCTGTCAAGAGTCACTCCATTCTCATTTGAAAAATGTTTATTTAGAAATGTCCTAGCCAGTCTTCAATTATTTCAGCGTACAGTTTGGTCAGTGGTGGTTGAGTTTCAGCCCTCCATACTAAGCCTCTGTCTCTGACTACTGAACACATTGTACATCTGGGTTCTTCAGGTAGATTGCAGTTATGACAGGACTTTATTGTTTCTGGTATCTTTTTATCCGTCTCAAGTTCATTGGCAGTTCATTCTGTGTCTTTTTTTCTTACCACATTTCTTTGGGCGCTTTTGACTCTTTGAAACAATGTTTAATGGTTCTGTACTCACACACAATATTTTCACTATTTTGAGATTATTAGTCCCTCTGAAGGACATTTTACAATTTTTGCCTTTTCAGAACCAGTTAAATCCTACTTGGTCCACTTTACCCGAGGAATATATCTTGCTTAGTAACTAGGAAAATGTTGCCATATGATGGTGATCACAGGCCACACCAACCTAAACACAAATAGACATCACCTAATTGCTTAAATCCATTTGCATCCAAATGGATGTAATTTTGACCTGTACAATTCAAAATTGTACAGGTTGGAGTCAAAATCTTGCAAAAAATCATATGGTCAAAATATGAATTTACCTAACAGTAAAACATCCCCTGTTTCCAAAGGCTTGAGCAGTACTTATAAAAAAATCTACCAAGAAACAAAAACATGTTGACACTACAACAAGATATTTTTTAGGAGAGATCACAGATTATAGACACAATTTACATTAAAAATGTTCACTAAAATATCAAATTAGCCTAAAAGGGAATCCACCTTTTGATGGCAATGTAATATCCTTCAACATTAAAAAAAATCACCAGGTGACTCTTTTGTCAAATCTGGCAAGACAAGCACTGAATGAAAATTTAAATTATTATTACTTTTATTGGCAGGTTATTACTCACGAGATTTAGAAGCAGAAATAACTTAGTTTCATACAAAGCAATTTGCTTCTTCAGCACCATGGACAGCGTGAGGAAGGCTTACAATGTTAAAACAGAGGATACACTGCAATAGTTCCTAATTTATGCAAACGTCTCTGTACCGTTTGCTCTTTGTTCTGCTAAACACATTAGAAGGATTTTGTTTCTGGCTGTGAGCTTTTTTACTGTGTTGTTAAGGTCCAAAGCCCACAGAGTGAGCAAAGGACATGAAGGCATGGACATTAATTAGCAATCTAAAGTCTTTCTAATGTTATGTCAAGAAACAGTTCCTCTAAAAATATTTAGAGAATTTAAGGATTTTCCAAAAAAAATTTGAAATTTCCTCCCAACATTAAGAAACAAAACAAGAAACAAAAACATTTTATCAGCACCTTGATGTCAAAAAGCATGGAGGCTACAACTTTAAGGCCTGAGTGCTTCTGTAAACAAGATCTAATTTGGTGCTATGAAAAATGTGGTAATACTAAATAGTCAATGCATGGTGGGTTGGCATAATTGCTTGCAGTTCTATTTCTGTTGTCTTTTTAAATTGACCACAGCTCTGATTTTTCTCCAGCCATGAAAAACAAAATGGTCACGATTTGATGAATCCTTTACCATGACTAAAACATTAGTAGTAGATGAATGTCAACAAGTCTATGTATCACATGGGTACTGTTTGTAGTATGTGTCTGTGATTGTACACCTATTTATGTCATGTCTGATTACTCTGATGAGCACACTCATCTCAAAAAGTCCCTCATCCTTCCCACACAGCTACTAAATACATAAAAATACATACTTATCACACCAGACAGTTATTTTACATTCTGAAACCAGCTGTACCTTCAAGGCAGCAAATCCTCCAGAGGCCAGAGTGGGTGAGAGCCCCGGGGTCTTTCTTGTCCTTGTTGCTAGAGGAATCCTCCTGGGAGGAGTTGGCTGTGCTGTTGCAGATGAATGCGCGGGCATACAGCCAGTAATCTGTGCCGATGGCCACCGTCATGAGTGCAAATGCCGCAAAGGCCCCCATGGTGGTCAACAGCACCTGGATGCCTCGTTCCCACCAAACCATCGCAGGGCGTGGAAGGAAACTGACGTCTAATGCAAAAACCGGAAAAGGATCAGAAGGTTTTTTTCATTTTTCAGTTTGATTCCCAAAAATGCAACAAACAGAGATGACTACTTATATTGATTTGCATTCAGTTGTTTTTCTCTCACCCACCTTTAGCTAAATAGTGCTGAATGTTAATAAAAACCACCTGCTGATAAAACGTCAAGTGGAAGAGAATAAGTTGTTTAGAAGAGCATCAGGTAACTATTGACCTTTAATTAGAACCAGAAGAGGCTTGTCTGCCTTGCAAATATATTTAACAACCCACTCTATTGTCTATTCTGATCTTTTTTCTTATGATGCTTTAGATTCAATGTTGTCATTAATTTATTCAGCATTGCATTTTAAGTAAATGAGTTTGACACTGTTTTAATGATCAAGATTTGTGTAATGAGCAACGTTACATTTACTTGAAGCCATCTAAAGCTTATATTTTATTTTTTTCTCTAGAAAAGATGGGAAACCTTAAAAAGCCTTAAAAAATAGCCATTAGCTGTCAGTTGTTTCCTCTATTTATAAATTAAACTGTTAGCTTTAGATGCATAAACACATCTACTGTCCCTGATGGGCCCACTGTAGGTGACTGGTGGGACCTGCTGATGGCGTTGACTCCTTCGCTACATTCTGTGTAAGCACACTCGAGTAGTTTTTAATCAAAACACAGCATATATAGCCCAAAGCTGTGAAGAAACGTTGGCAGGTGCAGCCAGCTGGAAACAAAATGTCCACATCGCTTGAGCAAGATGTGAAAATTGCAATTGTGGATGCAGGACAGTTACAAATGTTGGTAGTTGTTTGTAATTTATTACATGGAGTGTTGGAAGAAAATGTTATAATATTGAGTGTGTAGATTAGTATGTCTTGGCTAAGACCTTTTTATGAACCACTTATATTTTCAAGAATCCTGTTTACCAGTTAATACTGAAAATTCAGATTTTTTTTGTCCTGTTCATTAAAGGCAACAAAGCTGAAAAATCTCCCAAGGTATTGGTGTGTAAAATAATAAAACTCACAATGTTCTCTGATGCACTTTGTTTTGAGTATCAAGTGCAGACATAATTACTATTATCATGGTTCATATTTATGACATAATCATTTTAGTCTGTGCTGAAATAAAATCCAAAACTGTTAAAAATGCATATACAGCTTTTATTTTCCTTTAATGTATGGCAAAGTTCAATAATTCATTTGAAGATGTTTTTTTATTGAGTGAAGGTTTTGTAAAAGCATGATGTGTGCATCTAATATTTAAAAATGGATATCTCCACAGAGACTGATTTTACGACCTTTTCCTTTCAACAAAAAATGTGTAGAACAAACAAAGACATTTTAAAATCTCTTGGAAATTTTGTTTGGAATTCTAGCTGGGATATCAAAGGAAAAAATCCAATAACAAATCAGTCAAAAAATGATGATAAATGAGAGAGAAAAAAGGAAAAGTGCAGTACTGTTGACTTTACGAGTCAACAGGCATGGCGAGAGGAAAGGGAAACATAGATGTATTCATTCTAACTATTGTGCAGGAAGTCAAAAGTGAAAGTCAAAAGCTGTTTCACCTGCTATACACATTATCTTCCATTCAATTATTCATTCATGCTTATAAAAACACTAAATAGTCTCAGATTTAAGTTTTCAAAAACTTAGGAAATAAAATGCCGGAGATGCAGCCTTTAACTGTGACAGATTACTCAAGATACATTAAGAACGACAAGATAATATTTCAGAGCCCTGGGGTTCACTGCTGCAGCAACATGAAGAGAGAATTAAGGTGAAGAAGTTCAATCAGTTCTTCATTAGAAGTTGTTTGTTCATCTAAACACTTAACATTTTCATCTTGAAATCAAGAGCTTTTATTGTTTGTAATTTAAAATACCATCCATCCATCCATCCATCCATCCATCCATCCATCCATCCATCCATCCATCCATCCATCCATCCATCCATCCATCATGGTTCTACACAATAAATAACTTCTGTATTATTGCTTTAAACACAGAAACTTGTTGTGTTGTTTTTCTTTCTCTGCTCAACCTGCTGCCATGTTGGCCCCGACAAGTCAATGTGGCAGCAACAGGCTTCCCATACGTCTATTCACACTTAAACTGGTTATTTAAGACCTCTAAAACTGATGACATTACATCTCACCTAACTAAAACGTAACTATTTTGAAATGCAGGTTTCTTAAATGGTGGATATATGTTCTAATTTGCCTAATTCAAATAAGCAGGAGTAAAAACAGACGATTAAAGGATCAAATCAAAACAAAAAAAAAAATTAATGCATATTTTTTAAGGTGTTTGATATTGCATGACGTTGTAATAAAACACGTTTTTTCATGGGAAAAAATGAAATGTCTACAATTAACTGTGCGCAACAAGAGATCACAGCAGATCTATGTTTTCTTCCTAACTGCACTTGATTCTGATTGGGTCAAATTAGAAGCAACTTGGGGGATTTAACCGACCAAAGCTGTGACAGGTTGAGAACATGCATCTAAAGACAACTCAAATAAAAATTCAACTAAAAGAACAATCACTTATGTAACTGTAATTGCTCTCTGTGTTAAACTGTATTACCTAACCAATATCCGTCACTTGAGCCATTTCTGACCCAAACATGACCAAATCCTCAGCTTTCTGTACCTGATCACAGCTTTATGTACCAAAGCTGAACCCAGACCTCTGGACACATCTGCACCTTAAGGTGAAAGCCGGTGTGAATGTGGATATGCGGGTCGTTTCCGGAATGGCAGTAAGTCATGTGCGTCTATTTATCTGTTTAAATACAGATGCATGTCATATGTGTACCTACACAAATCCAGATGTGTGTAGGTTGTATGCAAAAGCACATGCGAATGCAAGTGTATTACCTGGGGGCACGCTTCTTCCTTTGGTCTCCATCTCCTGTCCCCCCTGCTGCTGCTGTTGCTGCTGCTGTTCTTCTTCTTCGTCAGTGAAGAGAGCTTCGTAACCCCGGTCCGAACCGCCTCCATCCACCGTTTATCCTTTGCTTTCTCTCCCCTTTCTCCTTCTCTCTTTTCACTGCACTTCCTCGAATCTGAGCCCTTCCTACTTATTTTGCAATCTCTTTTCTTTTTAGTTTTCTCTGTTTTCTGTTTTTTTTTTCTTTTAATTTTGGGCACTCCTTTGCTTGTTCTTAGCAAGTGGTGGGTGCTTCACTCGCTGTCCGCTCCTCTTATTGAATTGCCATGGCAGTCATCTTCTGCAACTGAGAGAGGCAAGAAGGAGGTGGCGTTGGGAAGGTGGGGTGAGGAGGGAGCAAATGAGAGAGACTGGCAGAAAAGACAAAAGACACAGAGAGAGAGAGAGTGAGAGAGAGAGATGAACAGAATCAAAGGACGGGGAATATAAAGAAAGCAAACACTGAAAGAAAGAAGATGAGATGAGGTGGGCGGTGAATTCGATTAACAGATGAGAAATGAGTATGAAAACCAAGGGATGCTTCTGTGCAAAAGCATTCCCTGTGAATACAAGCCTTTTTTCAATCTAAAATGATTTCTTTGTCAGTTAAAAAAGAGCAAATATCCAAAACCTGTAACCTGTAGCCAACAGCAAAAGCAAGCCCCCTTGTAAATAAGAGAAGCTGGTTTGCCTCCACAAAGAGAGAGAGAGAGAGAGAGAGAGAGAGAGAAAGCAAAAAAAGAACAAGCGATGCGAGAGAGCGTGCTCTAGTCCATTGCCATGGCAACAGTGAATTCCAAAGTCTATGGTGAAGCTGGCAAGTGTGTGTGTGTGTGTGTGTGTGTGTGTGTGTGTGTGTGTGTGTGTGTGTGTGTGTGTGTGTGTGTGTGTGTGTGTGTGTGTGTGTGTGTGTGTGTGTTTGTTAGCGTGTAGTGCTGAGATAGGGGAAATAAAGCGATGCATGTAACAACTGAGAGGATTTTGTTGAGATTAAAGAAAAATTACAGTGTAAATTGTGTTCGCACAGAGAGAAGCTTAGATGTTGACACTGGCTGCCCAAACACAGGGATTTCTGTCGTGGACATGTTTGATTCCTCACTGAAGATGAGGAATGAACATTCACAGGAGAGATGACAGACTTGTGAGTCATTTGTGCTGCGGTCACAGCATCTTGGCTTGCCTCATCCATCCAACTTTCTTCCTGTTGGTGCGATAGCTTAATCACAAGGACTTAGCCCTGGATTGTACTTTGAACTGCACAATGCGAATTTTTCAAAGGCAAGACATCAAGTAGAGATTTGACAGCTTTCCCAAGGGCATTCCAGCAGAACAGCTGCTTTTCACCCTGAACTTCCATCCTGCATTTCAACATTTTTCCTGGAGAGAAAAACCCCATCAGCTCTGGCAGGAGGTCAGGTTTTACTGCTTTTTTTGTTTTCATTTTCTTCTCACAAGCTGTTGCCAAAACCACAGGGCATCTTAAATCCACATGAGAGGTAGCTGCACCACCGCAGCATGGGATGTTAAGTTGTTTGATGTGAACAGCAGATGCAGAGTTACTTCACAACACAAATCCTTTTGCTGAAATGACCAAGAAAGCAACCTTGTATGAGCTCAATGGGAAGCTGACATTTTGTGTCTTTCAAAGACAATCATGCTTCTTTGACCGTTTCACATTTTGTCACAAGTATTTTTATAGATCAAGGGTAAAATGGTGGGGCAGTTGGTAGCACAGTTGCCTTATAGCAAGAAGGTCTTGGGTTCAAATCTCAGGCTGGAATCTTTTTATTCCTCACTGCAGACATTTGGGTTTAATGAAAAGTTTATTCAGAACCTACCCATAGGTTGTCATTTTAAAAGATACTTTTTCTCTGGCAAAATAGCCTCAGCAGAATGTATATATTATTAATATGAATGTATTTGTTGAGGAAAACTGAATTCCATACTTTGCTTTAATCAAAATGTCTGATATATTTCCATATACAGTATTTCTGTTTTAATTTTTTGTGCAATTTGCCCTTAATAATTACGTTACCAGTTACCTTAACAAGCTAAATTAGGAAAGCCCCAGAGAACTTGTTACAGACCCACTTAAGTAAATAAGCAGCAGTCTCACTGGACCCAGAGCAGTTTGTATACGGCCCTTAATTTGGAACTAAAGATGCAATCATCCACTCTCTTAAGGAGGTTTGTACTAATCTGAACAAAACATTGATGGGGCCATTTTTATTTTTCTTGTGATTTAACAGTTAAAACTGACACTAAAATACATGAATTTATAGAAAATGCTTATGCATGACCTGGGTTGTAAAATCTGGCTTAGTGCAAAGACTCATTGCAGTTTATTCCAAACGCTTTATGGGAGTTTCTCCTGTCAAATGTGCACAGAACTAATTATTAGGTTCAAAGTGTTAAATACTTTTCACATGTGGCTTTTCTGTTTTCATTCAGTAAAAAAAAAAAAAAAAAAAAGAACTTGTGGGTGGGAAATGAGGTTTTTACAGCAGGTATGAAAAACAGAAAAACAATTGTTCAAAGTGTGCAGGTGCTCAAGGACCCATAACAAAAACTTTAACTTATTATTTTTCCATGCAGGCAGCATTGCCAGAGAGGGTCAGATTTAATTGGCTACGACTAAAACAGTCATGGAAAATAGTTTTTCATTACCCGAGATCAACAAACTTTCCTTGAGAACAAATAAAATTTAAACTTGTAGCAATATAGGAATAAAACAACAAATGTTATTGTTTATATTTTTACAAAGCAAACTTGTCGGTTCCTTAAAATCTTAAATGTAACATTTAAACTGTTTAAATTTTTTTTTTGTTAGTGTTATCTATGCCAAAACCAAATAAAATGTAACACTATTCTTGTTCGATTCTTAAAACTAAGATGTTTTAAGATGTGTGATGCATTATTTATTGGGGCGCAGCTGATAGTTTGAGCGTCTCAGTTTGACAGCACCTCAGCTACATCTTGTTCTATGGATTATTTTTGAAATCCATGGTTAAGGCAAACCCAGCAAGGTGATTCTAGGCAAGCCTTAGATCTTCTCTGTAGTGGATAAACATAACCTGCTCACCCATAAGTTTGTCTTTCTGATTACTTCATAGTACTGTGCTGGCATCCTGAATTATTTAAATCCACCGTTCTCATTGCAGCTAAGTTTGTTTTAAATAACTTGCACAAATTAGGACAGACCAGCTGCCCAAATCTGTCTCCCCCAAAATGCCTGCAACCTTCCCTCCTCAGATGAGAACAGTCTGTTCCTGCTGCTCAAATTAAAAGTGCAGCTGTGAGCTCAATGGCACAGACAGCATTAAATCAGTCGCAGTCAGAAGCGACCTCAACTTCTAAGAGGAAGTTTCGAACTTTATAATTAGTGTCAGGTGAGTTAAAATCTATCAGTGATAATAGTAATGATGATAAAGTTGTTCAAAAGAACAACTGGAGCAGAGATTTTTAGCTGTACTAGGGAGACATGTGAAACAAACCGATAAGTAATTTGATCAGAAAAGTATTTAAGACCAGAACCGACTGACATCTTCCATCATCAGCTATTGTTCTGACTCAAGCTAATCTTCAGTAAAGTTGAAACCCTGGTTCAAATGGAAGTTGTCATGGAAAAGATGAAAGACTGCAAAGGACTCCAAACCTGTATTTTCAACATATATCAAATGGGCATTAACAATTAGGCAAAAGGAAATCTGGAGCCAGGCATATATGTTGAAATACATCACCATGGGCAAAAATGGTATATATTTTGAGAAAAAATATTCTTCTGTGCTGTTTATGTCTTCCTTGTACAAAACGAGAATAAGACAGCACAGTTCTAATGATGCACTCAGATCTGGCATTGTGAAACACACCACAGAAAAAAATAATGGGTTTCATTATCACTTAATAATCTGCAAACAAATCATCAAAAAAAAAATTGTAAGCAAATGTGCTTTGCAATGACTGAGTCACACTTTAACAATGATGCACCATAGTGCATATAATTTTTAGGGCTCTGAATGATGGTATCAAAAATGCTGTTTTTATTGACATGTTCTTTGTTCTGTTACATTTGTTGCCCACAGAGTCGTGTCAAATGTTTGTCAGTACTGGATTAATTACAAGATACATTCTCAGCTAGCTTGACAGAGCAAATGGCTGAATGGATGTTGGAGTCAGATAAAACAATGAGAGTGGCAGCCTGTTAGATTATTCCTTCGATTTAGATGTCTAAGACGTTATGAATCATTTATTAAACTGTAGAAAGAAAAAAAAATATTTTCCAACAATTTATCAAAAATGTTTTTTTTTGTTTTTTTTTCACAACACAAAGTTACCCTTTTGTGGCACCTTGATCATGTTTAACCCCTTCTTTCCTACAGGGCCCATTTTTGTGGGCAATACCTTTGGGTCCAAGAGACTCTTGGAAATAAAGTTATTTTTCTCTTGACACTATATGAATGAAGGTTTTTTTATATTTTACTTTTAAGTTATTTTCCATCTTTCTTATTTACTAACACATAAACCATCACAAGGAATAATAAAAATGACTAATAAGAATATAATAAGATTTTATTAATATACACTTTTTTTCATTTTCAGCAGCTGTTTTTGCCTTACAATAAAAAGCAAAACATAATTTTTTTTCATATGTTATCGCTGGATAAATAATTCTTAATTAAGCACAAGAGTGATGCTTCACAACTATTCTGATTTGAACATGTTCATTTAAAATATGCATAATTAACAAATAGGCAAAATGGAAGTCTAGAGCCAGGCAAAAGTTTATTGAGTTCAAAGTTAACAAAACACTGCAAATGGTACACTTTCAGGCATGACAAAAATAAAGTTATGCAATAAAGCAGCTCATTTAAATAAATATTATTTCCAATAGGTATCAGTTGAGTCTAATATAACTGACTCAAGATGTCCACCAACTCTTACATAATTCAGCCTGGGTTGATTGCATACTTACGATGCAGAGTAAATTTTTACACCAAATCACAGCTTCGGAAAAAAATAAAAAATAAAGCTTTTAACAAAAGAAGTTAAAATAAAAATAAATATATTTTAAAGCTTCATTTCTCTGCTGCAGTGATTTCAAAAGAAACACTTTGTTTGGATTTTTGCAGAGATCTTTATGGTCAGCTCATGTGTGCCTGCATGTGTTCTATGATTGCATGTGAGTGTTCATAAGCATGGATGCTCAGCTCTTAGCAGTTCAAAATCAAAAATACATCTGCAAAATATATTCAAAATTTCTTATCAGCAGCTAAATCATTTCTTATCTAATAGCTATATAACAAAGAATCATAAAATATTCTTAACACTGCATTGGCTACATGTTTCTCTTTTTTATCATAGCATCACAGCTTGTAAGCATACAGTTTATTTCCCATAAATCTAAAAATGCTAAAAACAATGGCTTATTTTAAGCATGATTGCTACTCAGCTACAAAAACAAGCAATCACTGCAGTTACTGTGAAACAAGGTCAAATCAGGTCAGAGACAAATTAAAATGTGGAATTTGAATTGTAAAGTAATATATATTTGCACTTCTTTAACCAGCAAAACTTTGTTTTCACTGTTTTTGAGTCGCTTTTCAGCATTGAACTTATGACTATAGTAGTTGTCACATTAGTAAAACAACACCACAAGAAATGAACACAAGTTTCCAGTTTGCTCCCCAACAAGTTTGAGTTACTCAAAGTGCAATTTCAGTAACTCTTTTCATTTCTTCTATAAACTTTCTGCTTCTTATCAAACTTGGGTGCATGGGATTTCATTGAAATCTACCAATCTGAGAAGTACAATGTCACTCAAATGAATTCAAATGCAATTTATCATAAAATGTCCTTAAAACAGTTAGCTTAACTGTTTGTATTGGGTCATGATTGTTAAATGTCCTTTAACTCGATTAGTGATTTCCACATTTCATGCAAATCACTGAAACCTTCGGCTCCACAGAGGTTCCCCAACTATCCAGATCCATAGAAAGTCTCTGAGCTACATATTTAGTGTCATTCCAGGAATTGCAGCACATTCATTCCCAAAGTTTTTTTTTCTTTAATTAGAAAAAAATGTCCATTAATGCTACCACCCAACAAGTTTTGATTGGGATTAGATTTTCTTGCTTTGGCAAAAATTTAGAAGAAGAATCTATACAAGAAACTATCAGGCGTAAAACTCTCTATGCATATACAGTTAACCCCTAAATAATGAGCTGTATTGGTAGGTCATGATACAAAGGCAAAAGGTGAAAGCAATGTGGATCATGTTTACTTTCTCTTCTTTTACCTTATCAAGATGCTGGGAAAGCAGTCTTGTCAACATTTAGCAAAACAGGAATAAAAAAAAAACCTCTCCTCATATTTTCAAATGACAGTTTTATTTTTTTATTTTTCACAACATTTTTATTAAAAAAGTTAGGGAAATACTGATCATATTTCAGATAATCATGGCTCTGATCAAGGGTGTCTAAAGTAACCAAGAAGAAACTCATCTTAAAATAGATGTTGTAGGTCTAATGTCTGTCTTTATGTCGGCTACATTTCTGACAAAAATGTAGTTTCGGTAACTAAAACATTTATTTTTTAGTTACTGAAAAATAAATGGTTATAAAATGGGTTATTTATTTAAAACTAATGAGTTTTGAATATGAAATACTGTTCAAATGTTCAGGGCTGATGAATGATTGAGTCCCAAATAACTGAGATCAATATCAGGGATGAAAATATTAATAATATTCACCAGCATTTATTATGAAATATACAAGTCAGAAAACTATCCCACCATGCTCATGAAAAGATTACATTTTTCAAATAAGGAAAAATATCTGGTTAATCAAATAATAAAATGCTTAAATTATACATTTTATGTTGATCAATTGTTGTTTCCACAATACACACCGTTGTCAATTTTTTCCTTTCCTAAGTTGTTTGCCGCTTCATGCTGTTGCCTTTGTATCAAGTTCATGATGATGAATGTATTCATCAGAAAACCCCATGAGTGTCTTGTTGCTACTAATCATCATATTCCTCACTCCTCCCATCGCGTGTTCCCCTCCCAGCGTGTTAAAGTTTTGTTAAGCGTCTGTCTTCATCTCGGGCTCAGCATTACAGTGACTCATCCTTTCGCCCACCTGCTTTTCTTCCACCCTTCCCTCCTTTTTTTTCCCTCCTCTCCCCTTTTTCTTTTCTGCTCCTTGAACCTCCTTCGTTCAGTTGCTCTGCTGTATCCCTCCTCCCACACACTTTAAGGGAGCAGGATTAGCGTTTGTGTGCATCTGGTGAGTGCCTTAGGAGCTATAACATAGGTACCCCCCCCCCACTTGGTGTATCAACCCCAGCTGTATCCCACCCCCACCCCACTCCATGCTCTCCCAGCCTAGCATGGTGAGGCACTCATTCGTGTGTGTGTGTGGTAGTGAGGAGGAGGCACGGCAGAGGGAGGTGCTACCATCGGCAGGGACTGAGGTGGGGGCCCGCTCGAATGGGGATGTGATTGCGAGTGGGCGAGAGCATGTGGCACCCTAGTCAGGGTAGAGGTGGCACCTGGGTGAAGGGGGTGTGGATATGAGGAGGATGTGGAGGAGGAAGACGCAGGATGGAGCTGGTAGCTGGCAGCTGATGAAGGCCCGGAAGAAGAAGGCGTTGCCTGGGAGCTACTGCCGCCCTTTAGGGTTTGCTGAGGCGGCGGGGTCTGGTTGAGCTGGATGGAGATGTCAGAGGAGACATCAGAGGGACTTCGGCCCCGCTGTGGTGGAGCCCAGGAGTCTGGATGAAGGAACTGGCCACTGTAGTCGCTGCAGTCAGACATACGGGGGCGGTAGAGTGCTGGATGGGGGCGGTAGAGCTCCTCCTCTGCATAACGCTTCATAAAGAGGTAGACAGACATCACTCCTGCACCCTGAGAAGGAGACAGATGGAGTTACATAAATAGGTTTATTTTATCTTCAGTGGATGTAGACGAAGATGGGCAGGTAGTCATTTTCTTTTAAATTAACTATAAATGCTGCCTATTTCCCCACCCCCGAAATTGACATTTCAGACAGACATATCACAGGTAGCCTTCTAACTGCAGCGTTTGGTGTAAAACTGGTTTGGTCATTTAAATCTAAATAGTCGTTTGCTATTTGAACATAGAGAAACCTAAATGGAGAAGCATAGTTCAAAACCCCAGATACTTTTAGAATATATTAATCTTCAAATTTAAATGGGCCCAGTCGGGGTATTTCAGTTCGCACAAGAAAGGATAAGGTTCCAGTTAAGGAAAATATATAAATCCAACATTTAGGTCCTATTTATTTGTGTTCCCATTGAATTTCAACTCGTGATTCAGTTGTTGACAGGAATTGCTCTGGCCCAAGAGAGGAAGAGCAGTCAGCTGGCAATTAGAAAGTTAGATTCAAGCTTTCCCCCACCACATGTTGACATTTAGTTAGCCACAGAACATCAAGTTGTGTAGCGATATTCTGGATTGAGAAGTTTGAATAAGTCTAAAATGAGCATGAGTGGTTCTAAGACTAGAAAAGTGCTGCATAAGTGCAGTTCATATATTATAGAGTACAAACAATAAAACAAATGTGATCTAAAACCGATGAATCCCTTAAAAAAACCAACTGGAATTTAACTGTTTATAGAAGCTTTTAGTAGCCAAACTGTAATGTTACACCTTCTACATCCATTCTGTTGAGACATAATGTGTCGTTTCCTCCATACCATTGTTTGATATTATTTTTTGCTTCTTTGCAACAAAAATAAAGCAAATCTTAGCAGGAACTTATCTAACTAAACTAAAAAGCATAAAGTATAAAATTACGCTTCATGGTTTCGGTAAAATGTTCCAGCAAGATTCTCTTATTGAAGTTATTGAAAGTTGAAGATGATAATCAGGGAGGCTACAAAATGTTAGCCCAGAAACCAGAACACATATTTATTACATCTGCAAATTGAGTCTTTCATATAAAATTGGCTTTCCATTTAGCATTCTCCAGCAGGAGTCCAATCACAATCATGTATTAATGGCGTCAGTCCAATAACAGGACTATCTTCGCTGAGTCCATAGGGATTTTAGGCTATCAGGAAATTGTTTCGGAAAACCGAAATTGAGAAAAGGAAAAAGCGGACTCTACCTTTTATTTCATAATATCATCTGTATTGCCACAGGTAGTAGAAAATGAGAAATAATACTCAGGTAATTTTTGAACTAACAGAACCTGCAGCATCCTTATTCGTAAATTGCAAGATTTCAAACAGCCATCAGGAGAGGAAAAGATGAATGAATCAGACATAATTTTGCAAAGAGTTGACAAAAAGGCCTCAGAGCTGCAGGGTGGAATGAGCAATTACCCCAAAATGTATTCATGTTTTCACTTGGGCTTTCACTGAGCTTCCTCAGCTCATTCACTATTCATTCACAACATCATGACTACAAAAAACATGTACAAACTTGAATGCTGATTAAAGTGAGAGAGTATGTGTTAGAGATAAAGCTTGTGTGTGAAAAACTGCTTAGGAACTCTACAGAAATAAGTACAAAAAAGATGAAAAATAAAGATAAAGGAAATGTGGATGATTAAATGAGATGGGTAAAGAAAAGAAAAGAAATACAAAAGATTAAATGACAACAGGGAATTATTAAAAAGATTGAAAGCTTTAAAAAAATGTCACTTTTTCTTGAAACAAAATCAAAAAAATGTGAAAATTACGCAAAAGGGTAGAAATAAATATTTAAAAATGCCTTATAGAAAAGACTTAGGTTGGAAAATGGGAAGAAGTGGTAATGTAGAAACAATGACATTTGGTGAAAGAAAAGGACAAAAGGAACTAATGTTAAATAACAAATTTAAAAAAGATGTCACAGTGACATAGAGGGGATGCAGCAAAAGCACTGAAGGAAAGAGGATAAGGTGCGGAAAAGAGGAGGAAAGAGAAGAAAAACAGAACAGGGTTGAGACAAAAGAAGATTTAAACAATGAAGATTAAAGAAGACAGAAGAGACAAGATAAAAGTAAAGGACATCCAAAGACAAGACCAGACTGAAAAGAAAGGCCGACAGGCAAGATGAAAAAGAGATGATGGAGAAGGAGGAGGAGGAAAGATCTAAAAATGAGAAGATTGAAGGATGAAAGAGTGAGTGAAGCAGAGAAGCCCCCGCCTCCGCCAGCGAGGAATTTTCTGATGCAAAGTGCTGCTGCAACAGAGCTGCTGGCCTCAAGTATTCCAGCTATTAACATTTATGAATATTGATGTGAGCGGAATGACGATCTCCTACACAGGCACTTCTAAATGTGTGTTTGGCTGAATACGTCTGGTGACTGTGTGTGCATTTATGTGTGTGTGTGTCGTCTTAAATGAGTGTGTTAATCTGAACTGGTTTTTGTTGAACAGCCAGATCCTATGCAATCTATGTGTGTGTGTGTGTGTGTGTGATCTATGCATACTGACTCTATAAATCCTAAGCATCAGCATATATTTGAGTAACTTAACTGGCTAGAAGGGTCTAATGTGTTCAGTTGGATTTTCCAGCAACGTGTGTGTGCTGCAGCTGCAGCGTTTGCAGACAAAATAGTAACACAGCTCCTAAATGCTTCTGCCATGTGTTTATCTACATGCAGGATTAGCAACTAAGTAACTTTGCAACTGCATGCGATTGAAATATGTGTGAGTGTTTGTTGAATTACCTCTTTGAGCAGGAAGGAGGAGGCAGCGAAGGCAAAGGACCAGCCGTAGTGGTAGTGAAAAAACTGCTCTGGCTCTCTGGGTCGATTCATCACTTCGTCATTAATACTGGAAATGTATAAAACCAAACCCACCACCAGACTGAGACCTGAGGAAACAAAAACCAACAGACACATACAACTGGAAGCACATAACATGGTACACTTTATAACAAGACAGAGACAATGTTTTGAGAATGTATATCTTTTTCTGGCACTGATTCAATCTCAGAATTCTGACTTTAATCTTCTGAGATCAAAAGTCAGAATTGTGCTATTTTTTTTCCTCAGAAAAAAGTCAGAATTCTGAAATTAGAGTTATTTTATTTCATTTATTTTTTGGATGGAATCTTTTTCCGTATAATAATTTTTTTACGACTTCAGACCAACTGAAACAACATTTCTTCCGTCATCCTTTAAAGTTTATTTACTGTTTGTTTATTGTTCTTAATATTTGAAAGATGAAAAATTGAAAAGTGTTGATGCATTCCATAACATAAACATTTTCTGTAATACTATTAAACAAAGAGTTTAATTTTAATAGTACAAGTTGAACTTAAATGATTTGATCATTTGAATGGTCAGTGTTTGAGATAAGGGATTTAAATAATCTCATAGCCAAAAAACAAAACAAAACAAAAAAAAACACAAAGAAGAAAATGGTCAGACATTCTAGATATTACAATGTAGAAAATGACTGATTTAACCACCCAATTAGATCTTCTGTTTTTGTGCAATGCTATTCTCATCTGAATAGGATTTTGTATTTTACTTGTATTTGTTTGTGCTCTTTGGAAAAAAAAGCCTGGAAAGCCTAATGATTATGTGTCCTGACGGTGCAGCAAATAGGCCGAGAAAACCTTAACAAGTGGCAGAGCTGTAGCAAAGAGATAAAAAGAGAACAGAGCCTCGCACACACTGAGAGACCTGCATGTCTGTTTGTGGTTTAAAGAAATGTCAGTGCGAAAGGCATACATATACGCAAATATGGACTCCCATTGCTTACACAAACACACATTAAAAGAAAGACAATGAAGCCTCATTAGGAGTGTGTCAGAACCTCTTCTGTCAACAGATTCACTGCAGCAGACCTGGAAAGCCTGCCGCAGGGAAACCTGGCATAATACGCACAGGAAGGAAGAAATCACCAGAAAAGCCCTTATACCTCGCTCTGTTAGAAAGACAACAGAACCCACAGCGCTTATAGAAAGTAATAAAAATAAAGAACAGCATTTAAGTAAATTTTGCTTTCCTCAATTACTGATCCATACTGAGCATAGACCAAATCAAAGATATAAATACATTTTAATAAAGATTCAAATGTATAAAAAGAAGTCTCCAATTACCATATCATAATTAAATGTGTTTAATGTATTTAATTGATAATTTTATGTTATTCCTTTCCGTTGTGCTAAATTTTAGGATTTAAATAGTTTCAGAGAAAATAAAGTTGCAATGTTTCGTCTTGACCATTAGATGGCAGTGTTGTAGCCTAATGCGTTCAGTACTAAGCTCTTGGTTGTTGTATCCCACAGGAAATTAGACCTGAGAAAATCATGTGCAAATTGAAAACATTGAAAAAGGAAACAAACAAAAAAAAACAACAACATGCTCGATCGCTTGGATAATCACCACACAGTCTGCAGCAAACCACCCAATTAATAAAGTTTTCTCTTTTTTAAACAGTTTAAAGGATTCATGAGACTATTTGTTCTTGATTCTAGAATATTTTACACGTTTTTTTTAATTGCATGGCTTTACAAAAGTCTTTCATGGCTGCTCACTTGTAGATTAACAGCATCACTGTTTTTAAAATGAGAGCATGCAAGAAAAAATAATTTATATTTGATATTTACTGTTTATTTATTTGTTATAAATACCCTACATTATTCACTGCAGTCCGGTGTACGTAATACCTACTTATTTTCCTGCAACATTTAAAAAAAAATAGATTGTGAATGCAATATAGATTCCAGGGGCTAAAATGCATGACAAATTGTGCTGAACGGTTTGGTATGGTAGCATGATCCTCTCCATGCTGGCTCTCCAACATTATTATGACATCATGTGTCCAGTCAGCAGTCCACCATGCTAAGATAGCATCTGTTAGGTTAACACTCATGCACATAAAAGGTGCAACAATGAGGATTTTTGCTCAACAAGCATGAGAGCCAAAAAGTTGGAGTAATCTATTTATCAGATGAACGGTCAGACCAAAAAAAAAAAACGTTAGAGAGAGCTGTCCTGCAGTGATATACGGAGGTGATGTCATCCTGCTGGCTGCAGTGATTTCTGTCTCCAACAGGAGTCTGATCCAAATGACACACACCGCTCAAAGTCCAGTAATGAGACAAAAACTGTTAATACGTCCTTCTAGGGATTGATGTCCCTAGAGGCATTATTTCAGCTCAGAAATTTGTGTTGTATTTTACAAGTCATTCTTCATCATCTGTATTCATAACATGAGTATTTTGCAAAGAATGCAACAAAGCAAGTACATTATTTAGTTGATTATCTTAATTTTAGCATACTAAACAAATGCACCAATGACAGGCTGTTGCCATATAGACAAGCTGAAAGTTTTGACACACATCCTATATCTGTTTGTGAATAGTGGTATCTAAAAATCATCATAATCTAAAGTCAACCAAATCAAAAACATGTGGTTGAACAATGAAGATTAAAATATTAGGATTGTATGCAGATGCTTGTCTGAAATCCATTTGGAATATATTCATACTAAATGCAGTCCATCTACTGCAGTAAGGAAGCTTCAGCCATTTGGCTACAATCAGCAACAGACCTTCATATAGAAAAATTAGAATCAAAGTACTGACTTTTTGTTTTAAAAGGAAACAAAAGCATGCACTGAAACATAAAGACACTATTCCTGTATAGTTTCCTTGACAGGAAGCTATTATTTGGGATTAAATCACCTCCACGGTGCTGCCTGCTGCAAGGATAAGGTGCAGCTTGACAGGATGTCAGCTAAGATGTATAGGACAAGCAAAAGTGACTCTTACGTCTGCAGAGTTGTCTCTTGTACCATTTGTCGCTACAAATATTGTCAAGCACATCTCAGAGCTGCTCTGCTGCTATTTAACATCTCATTTTAGCCAACAGCTAAAAGGAGTTTGACACTTTCAATCTGGACTGCAAAAATTCTTATATTCTGGTTGAATTACCTAAAGAACATCAAGTCTTTCTGTTCAAATCTTACTTATGGTGAAAGTCTTTGCCCAGGTCTCCCATTCTTAAAGCTGTTGTAGCAAACATCCATTTGAAATAACTCAGTTTTCGTTACATTAAATGAAATGCCTTCTATCTGCTGTTCCACTGAGGTAAACTCTCCTCTCCTCAAGAGTTTGCTTCAAAGTGTTTGTGCTGTAGCAGGAATAAAACAAGATTCCTTTGCAACAGAAGAGCTGTTAAAGTTGAGCACCGTAAAGTGACTATGCCTCTATAAAGACTGACTTCAACCTCAGCACCCCTTTAATCACAAGGCTTTTTATCTTTAATGCAAAGATAAGCTTTAAATCCTCAGTAGCGTGGCTTTTGAAGACCTTTATTGCAAGTTTGATGAGGCGAGAATAACCGAAAAGCAGCAGGAGGGATTTAAAACATTTCTTATAAAACCTTTAAAAAAGTGTCAGAAAATGTCCCACAGATAATTTAAAGTTCACTTTAAGTTTTAGCATAAAAACAATGAGTAAAACATATTCAGATAAAGAATAGTTTTAACATCACAAAGACCCTTTAGGCATGGAATGTGGTAACTTGATTTCCTATAATCCCAATAAAAAGTAATTGCAAAATCACGAAGAAAACTGAAAAAAATTATTGGATTTATTCCATAAAATTACAAGCTGCTTGATAATCGTCCCGGAAGTTGAAATGACATCAAATGGAATAAAGTCACATTCCAGTTCATTCTGTTCCACTTGCAACATAAATATGATTTTGTAGCATTTGGCAACAGAACCAACTTAACAAAGACTACAGTGTTTTTCTTCACATTCTTTAAATCACAGATAAAATTAAATAATAAAAATTGTAAAAGTCTGTTTATAGGACTCAAAATCAGAAAAGAACAAATTTAATGACATTTATTATATTGTTTCATGAATGAGTCAGCCATATTGGATTCTGAAGTTGGAATTAATAAGGGGCATAAAACCTTTTAAGCTGAAAATTCATTTTATTTAGAAGATTAAGTATTTGGGGAAAAAAGAAATTAAATAATTCAACATCTCCAGTCTAAGAGAAATTACAATGAGTACTTATCAGTGGTGGGAAGTAACGAAGTACAAGTACTTCGTTACTGTACTTAAGTACAATTTTCGTGTATCTGTACTTTACTTAAGTAGATTTAATAATGGGTACTTTCTACTTTTACTCCACTACATTTTACAGTAGGTATATGTACTTTCTACTTCACTACATTTCTACAAAACTGTCGCGTTACTCGTTACATTCAAGTCGCATTGCTCTTTTTTTCCGTTAAAATGTGAAGTTCAGGGTCTTAAGGTGGCGCCATGAAATCCAAGCAATAACGTGACTTAGTGTCTGTTGTCACCCATCGCCTCCACCATTACTCGCACGCGGAGCTCCAGACATGCGCAGTGGTCTCCTCTGAGCAGGAGAAGATGTCTGTCTGATCGTCAGTTATATAATAGTGCTGCATAAATCATAGATATATGGTGACATGTAAAATAAGCCATGTAAGTCATGGCTTATTTTAAAATAAACAAAGCTTCGCTTTCAAGGACGGTGGGGACTTAGTCCAACTTTTAGCGTCACTTCGAAAGAAAGCTAAAGAAAGGTAAGCTCCGTGGACGTGATGCTAGCAAAACTAGCTGTACTGAGTCACATGTTGCATCTGCGGTGAAAAAAGTTGTCACTCATGCGCTGAATTATTGTCGTAAGTATCGGACAACGCTGTGACCAAAGTCTGCATTGATATGACATTCAGAAATGATCTGATTCTTCTGGATGGATCTTTACTGATTAAATTTATTTCAGCTCTAAGTATCTAATAATATCTAGGTGTTTTATGGGAATGTGGATCTTTCAGATCAATTTGAGAAGCAATTTTGATAGGTGTCACGTAGCGCGGGGTGCTGGTCTTGACTTGGTCTTGGGTAGGTGGTCTTCACTTACAACTCTGCTACGTGGCTCCTCGGTTGCATGTCCTCTCCTCCCACCTTCTTTCCATCCCCTTTCTGTTGGATTTCTTTAAAAATAAAAGCCACTAGTGTCAAAAAAAAAAGTGAAGTTCATGCTATGTTAGGACAGGAGACAAGATGTTTCCATCCCTGAAATAATGATGCATAAAATCACATATCTAAGTCTAAACTATGTTACAGAGTAAACACAAATAAAACATGCTTTATCTGTGACATTGTTCATTAAAATGGCACATTTCTGACGTATTAAAATTAAATACGATCGGTTCACTTAATGATATTGTATTAGCGATTAGGTAATGCATTCAGCAAGTACTTTTACTTTTAATACTTAAGTATTTTTAAAAGCCAGTACTTTTTTACTTTTACTTAAGTACAAATGTTAATGTGGTAGTTTTACTTTTACTTGAGTACATTTTTGTCTGTGTATTTGTACTTTTACTTAAGTACATTTTTTGAGTACTTTCTCCACCACTGCTTATTATGCCTCAAAATAATGATAATAATAAGCAACAACATTCCAAAATCACAGTTCTGGGAGGTTTAGGTCTCTAAAGCCGTATTTGTTTTCCCCAGAAGTTCACAAAATATCTGCCACAAATGTTTGGACTGTGAGGTGTTTGCTCTGTCTGCGTTTCTCGTGTAAGCATTACCTGATAGTATAAAGAATATCCCAGAAACGAAGGCCAGAATGGTGCGCTGTGGTCGGATGTGACCAATATTGCTGATGACAAAGGCGGTGAAGACGAAGAGCAGGGAGACCATGGGAAACGGTGTGGCTGTCCGGACCATTTCTGAAAAACAGCAAAAGAAGACAAAAGAAGAAATGTTAATGAAATGAACATGGATGATTAAAAAAGACAGCCTTTCTTTTTTCTCACTGTTGGACTTTAAATTATACTCAAATGTTCTTGTTTTAGGTTAGTAAGTAAGTAATATCTACAGGCTTTGTGAAATTCCATCACCATGACAGCACATTTGTTGTCTTTCATGACTTGTTTCATAGTTAATAATGATTTTAAATTAGCAGCTAAGAAGATGACATTATCATCTGGCCTTTCTCAAATTGTTAAAGGTTTAAAACAAGAAAGTTTTAGTTCTGCTCATGTTTGCTTGTCCAATATATTACAACATTTGTTTTTAACCTAATATTTTCTTCAGATAACCTAAGCCTCTGATACGATGCTTATTTTTCAAAAATATATTCACATCACACTTATTTTTGAGTGGCTTAGTTGAATTTGAGGCTTTCATTTCCAAAGCATACACTGAATACAGCCAATGTGTGAATACACACATTGACTGAAACTAACACATTCTTATTAGATCTTATTCATTCTGCAATGCCAAGAAATGTTTATATTGCTTTGAACAAGAACAATTACACAAAAAATTTAAATACTGTGTAGAATAATAAAGAATGAGCAGAATGTGTTTTATTTGAATGACTGTTTATTCCCTGTAGGCTGATCTGCCAGAGCTCATTCAGGGCTAAGTTGAGTAAGGTTATGATTTATTCAGTTTCATCCACAGACGTGGTGCGGTGTTATGACTTGTGCATCTACCTAAGAATATTTATCCACCCTTTACCAGGCCACAGATTTTCCAACAAGGTGTGATTTACATCTCAGTGGAAGAATAAACTGCAGAGAGTAAAACATGTTTCTGGTTGGTTTTTAGTGTCAATATTTTAAATTATTGAAGTAGCTTAGGGATAAAGAAAGTCCACTGGGGGCGCTGTGAAGCTCTCAGAATTCACTTATCTCTCTTTCGCAATGTTTTAGGATACACATAGTTTGTTAAAAATAGATAAAGTCCTCCGCAGGCTTTTTATTTGCAGCAGTAGAAACCCTGTCTTTTAAAATCTTTGATAATATTTAATTTATCCCTGAGAATTACCCTGAATTTTTATGTGTTAAATAACTTACAAGTTGCATGTACAATGGAGTAATATCAGAATTTGATTTGTTTTGTTCAAGAGTTTATTCATGATCTAGATTGCTACTCAAATATCAGTAACTTTACAAAACAACTTCATTAAAAGTATATGCTAAACAAGTAAAAAAAAAAATCTTTGTATTGTGATTTGTTTTTTTTGTTTGTTTTGTTTTTTTTTTTTTTTGTAAATACAGATAGTACAATCAATTGTGTGGGGAAATATCGGTGTACCAGAAACAAGTTCAAGGTGAACTGAAGCAGAAAGGTAAAAAATAGAAATAGAAATAAAAATTAGAATAAGAGACTGTACTGTGATGACACACTAAACATATTAAGTTATTCCATGTCAGTGTAAGATACTTCATTATTAACATTAAAAGGGGGAAAAAATTCTGTGCTTGAGGGTTTAATTAAAAGCAGCATGAAATTAAACCTTCCTACTGTGAGCAATTGTTCATTATTTGCTTGTGGAGCATGTTCCCCCCAAGATATCAGACTTAGTAAAACAGAGGCTGACTATTAGTTTAATAGCTTCCACATCAAAGAGTGGAAGGTATGGTGCATTCACTTGTCATACATTTTGATTGGGATTTTAAATTAGTCAGAAAATGAGCAAACAGCCCTGCTTTTCTAGTAAACAAGAAATTACATCTGGAAAATTACCTGAAAATAACCAACAAATAGTATGTACTGAAACATTTTACTATAGGATTTCACAGACATCGGAAAACAGTCACGTAGTTTCCTTCTTGACACAGAAATCTGGAAATAATAAGCAAACATTTTAATGAGTGTGTTAGATTTTTTTTTTATTTAATCAAAGCATCACATTCCCCATCTTATACAGATTTGTGCACCAAACAGAGCTGATCCAGTGTATATATGTTTACTTACTTAGTATGTTGGCTGTGTTTTCTGTTGTGATCTCTATCTCTGGTTCAGTGAAATACTCCGATGCAACACATCTGCCCTTCTCAGGTCCTAAGAAAGGAAGAAATGAAGGGTGGGATATAATATTTGCATATGGAAATGAAAAAAAAAAATACTAGTCCAAAACAAACAAAACAGAAACCACAGCTGAAAAACACAGTCAAAGGTCAGACAGGGAGGTCCAGATCGAGCAGCAGAGGAGCCAGACAAAACAGTGATTTTGAAAACATACCATCGAACAGATGAATTTAAAAACAACGTAAATAAACTGACACAGAGCTGCAGAGAATAGAATTACAGACACAGACAGATGGAGGTCAGAAGGTTTCTGAGAAAAACAAGACCTGAGCAGAGAGAGAGAGGAGAGCTGAACAACAATTAACCTCAAACTGTGGTCACACTGCGAGAAAAACACACACATACACAAAAACGTGTCTGTGCAAAAATATGCCAAATAAGTGATGCGTGCATGTTAAGACAAATGTGATACGGCTCCTCCCTCTCTCACCCACGCACCAACACATGACTGGCGCTTCAAAATGCCATCAGCATTTTCATCCTCTGACCTTTTGTACCAAGCATCAGAAACATGGCTTCCTCCCCAGAGCGACACCATCATGACCAAAAACACAACGACAGCTACTGCAGAAAAAGGACAGTCATTTGTGACCGCCTGGCTTTTGTGTGTGTGTGTGTGTGTGTGTGTGTGTGTGTGTGTGTGTGTGTGTGTGTGTGTGTGTGTGTGTGTGTGTGTGTGTGTGTGTCGATGAAAACACTTGTGTCTAGTGACAACACATCTAAAAAAAAAAAGAGTAAACTCTTCACTGACTCTTGGTTCATACTGATCTAGTTACATGTTATCAAGTTATTAATGTACTTTTAGGTTAAATCTCAGGATTGTAAATGTTGTCTAAATAATCTCTCCTTGCACTGTAAGTTGTTAAAATTAGAAGATCCAAACATGACATTGCCTTCAGACTTCTTACCCACATCTAGGTGTCATTAATTAAAATAGTTTGAGAAGTTAGAGTTAAACTGCAGCATTTTCTGCATGCAGTCATAAAAACAAAAACTTAGAAATGTGCTGATTTATAACCTTATAAAATATGTTAGTTCTACTCCGGAGTACAATCTCACAACACATTTTGAATTATGTTGTTTTCTAGTTCCAAACTTTGCAACTTGACAAAAAAGGATAAAACCAGCCACAATACTGGGCCCTAACTTCTCCATTGTTCTGTTAATACCACATTTAATGGTAATAAGGGGATTGACTACCATCTCATGATTTCTATCCATAGATTTTGACCCAGTTTTGTTCTGGAATGTGGACCAGATTTTCCTTCATGAAGCGATGTAATTAGCTGTTCGCTGTTGCCATGTGCTTCCTGGGCTTCCTTAGCCTCTGGTTCACATTGTGTAATTATTTTCTGTCTGGGCCAAAATCTTGTCGTGAAAGGAAATTTCTGATGTGACAGATGCACCAACTGCTTCTTTAGTTCTCTATCAACCAAAAAAAAAAAAACCCTGGGGCAAATTTTAAGCAGTGTCACATATTTTCTGGGAAAACCATGCAGTATGACTATAGCAGAGGCTATAGTCTGATTATTTTTCTCTATTATGCCCTAATGTAAGTGTTTCAGCCACCGTCTCCCTTTGCTTTTCAGTCCAACACTAAATGGATGCACGTAAACCCCTTTTGCTTGGTGTCTGGTCATTGTTGGACCAATGTCTGCCAGATTTGTCTGGCACTGTTCTCCTGCAGCAAGTCATACTGTCTGGAATCTTCAATCATACAGTATGATGGAAATTACTCAAATAGATCCTGACAAAACCTTGGATGATTCTTAAAAATAGCTGAAGTTGGACTGATTTGGATGTTTTTAATGCAGTGGTTTTGGATCAAACTTGTTTGTTCAGTAAAGTGCTTTAAGACGACAGTGCAGTACACAGACGACCCCATGCGTTTGCCACTCCTCAGAAAAAGCTGTAAAGTCCTTGAACCAGTTCCTCCTAATCATGATCCTCATAGCACGCAGCTCTGCATGTTTCAAATCAAACTTGATTTAAAATGATGGCTCATTAACAGGGTTGAGGAGAATTTAATGACCTGCTGTGAAGGTAATTAATGCACTTAAATTAGAGGCATTGGTGCAAATACACCTCCAAAACATGCAGGACAGCATGCTGCAATCGCTACTTTTAGACTAATCATTTTATCTGCAGTGAACCATTTAAAAGTAAGCCAATAAAAACATAATAGTAATCTCAGAAAAATTATGAAGAAACTCTAATTAAGATGTTTAAAAAATTAAAAAAGAACTCACTGATCTGCCTTTTCTCCGTCCCGCAAAAATAAAGGATTGTAGTTTTGGGTAAAATTGGACTAAATATTTCATATGTTTCTTTGTCTCTGCTTTTTGAGAAGAAAACATTCTTCTTCTAAGAATACAAATCCCTTCCAGTCTTTTGACCACATATTCATCTAACGTTTACTGATTCTGGTTGCAGACCTGCAACAAAACAGACTCTCCAGAGCCCGGAGTGGAGCGCCATCTTGACCTCCATGGTTTGGTTCTGCTGCAGAACGATTCCCTCCTCCATCAGTAGCCAGTAGTCCGTTGATACAGCAACGCCCACCAGCAGCAACCCACAAGCTCCAAACACCGACGAGAGCAGAGTGAGCGCTCTCGTGCTGAACGAACTCATCTGAGGAGCAAAGAGGACAGAATTGGTGATAGTTAGTGGGAATTCTTGGTTATTGTTGGAGGTGTAACAAAAAACAAAGATCAAATTTGAATAGTGAGAAGATGTGTGTTTTTTGTGGCAGCTTGAATAATTCATAGATATCTGCAAGGTGACTTGAATCATGTTAAAAAGTTTAAACAATAGAAAGACTGCAACTTAATACTGCACCACATTCAACATTCTACCTTCTTTAAAAGCAGATAATGCTTTTAATTTTTGGTATATGTTCCGCTTAATATGTTGGGAAAAATGAAATTCCTCCTCTGCAGCACCAAATGAGGCCTGTTTATGAGGTTTCCAGGTAGCATGCAGTGTAGCTTGTCGCTCACTAGGTGGCAGAAAAGTTGCCTCTGTCATGCTTCACCGTAGCTGTTGACACTGTGAGACATATCCTCTTCTCATACACACACAAACACTCATCCATCCAGTCAAAATGGAGGTCTCATTCATCATACAGTGAACTCTCCTGATGTAACAGATGTGATGCCTTCAATGATCCAAAAACAAAACACTGACCCAGAACACCCATCTACTCCGACGGAAGCAACTGTTCTCCCAAACCTTCGTTTTTAGAAATTATTGTTTTACATTTGTTCGTGATGCACTATGTGAAAATAAAGCAGCCTTTAAGCCAGCAGGCAGCTTGTTCTTATTCTTATTAAAACCATGTTAAATACTATGCCACCTGCAGCTCTCATCACCTGCAGGAGCATAAATTATTAAAAACTGGAAATTGAATTCCGTTGATACGGTTTAAAGGAACATGCTACAGGCTTAATGTGCACTTATAAAAATGCATGAGAAGCAGCCTTTAAATTAGATGTATTTATACTCCTGGTCACTAAGCAATTAACCCTTTCCCTGTGGCAAAAAAAAAAAAAGTGTGTGATGAATTCCTTTGCTGTTTCTTTGTCAGTCTCTGCCTTCAGAATTTCACATCATTTAAGTATTGAGTGTGTGGCATTAGGTTTAGAATATTCCCAACAGCCTAATCTTGTGATTTGAAGTTATTGCTGACAGTTTAGATGTTTTATATCAAGATGTGCTTTAATTTGGGACTCATTGGGTATACAGAGGAGTTCAAGGATGACTCAGTGAGAGCAGGTCCCAAGATCATGTTTCTATAACACACTCTTCCTTTCACTACCATGCTTCATAATTTTATGCTGATTTATGTTCTTGTTTTTCTCCGAACATGAATATATGTATTATGGCCAAAAATCTCTATTTTCCTCTCATCTGCCCAATATACATTGCCCCAAAAGTCTTGTGGTTTACTTGATGTAACTTAGCAAAGGATAAAAGTCATGCAGCCAAAATCTGTTTTGAAATAATAAGTGTTCCTATTCAGCCCCATGTCAAAGGCCTATTATTTAAAGAGATAAAATGAGTTTTTAATGCTATCTACACCTTTTAAACTTAATTTGTGGCAGGATAATCTTGCATAATGTTGGTAATTATAGGTTAACTGATAAAATTTCAACAATGCAGCCTAAAAGCATATTACCGCCTATACCGCTATATTATGTTTAAGCAATATATAAAGACGTGTTTGTTTGCTTTATTTGTTGTTTTCTGCTTTTTCTAGCTTGAAACATAAACATATTTGCTTTAAAACTACTATTAGCAGCTGAAACAAGCGTTGAAGGATGCTCTTCAACCTTCAAAATATCAGCTTTCAGAGCTGGAAGCTGATAAGAGGGCAGTCTAGCAGAAAACGAGCTCAGCAGACAAGACAACAACGGGACAGATGAGATGCACAAAGGAAGCTCCTGTCAGGCAGAAGAAGAATGAAGTGTGCACTGTCACTCAAGTTTGACGCTACGTTTGCATAACATTATGCTGACTAGCATGTTATCATGCTAAGACATTCTATTGTGCACATCAGGGGTATTCATCTTCAGTCTTGAGGGACAGTGTCCTCCAGTTTCAACAAACCCAAGTCAAATAATCAGGTCATTAGCAGGACCTTGAGGAACTTGACTAATTTGTCCATTTGACTCAGATCTGTTGGACCAGGAATCTAAAAACCACAGGTCACAGCCGCTGAAGGACTGGAGTTATTTACTGCTGCTGTACTACTACAGATTGGTACAGACAACTGTGACTCTCCAGGTATTCCAGGTAAACAACAGTTCTTCAATATATTCTCTCCAATCTAAATGCAAAATTAAATTCAGACACCTTCTGTATTTCTGCTGCCTGTACTTCAAAGAAGACATCACCGCCATTCAAAGTAACGTCGTCTGAGTAAAACAAAAGGTGACTTGTGCTTGTCTCATGGACATAAGCATCAGTCTTAGTGTTGAGAATGTCACTCTCAATGCAAGCTGCAGCCGGGCGCTCTGCACTGCTGCGTCAAAACATTCAGATCGTTCAGTCCTTTACAAGTAAAGAGACACAGCTGACAGTCTGCAGGAGTCAGGTTACTGTCTCACGTCATTTTCTCTTGTATTCCAATATACAGTAAACTAAAAGTTACAGCATATATTAATGAGGAGGATAATTTAAAAAAAATAAATCTGTGACTCATCTGGCTCACAGTTTTCCTGCTTAACACAAACGTTGTGTTTTTCTCATAAATAGTTCAAATATAGCTCAATTTCCCTGCTACTAAATGTTGCATTATGAGTGCATTTGGAATTTTTTATTGATTTTCCCCCAGTAAATATAGCAGTGAATTTTCCTTATTCACAGAAAAAATATCTTTTCTTTTCTTCTATTAAATAAATGTCAATATTAAGAGATTTATCATTTACAATTGGTTCTCAATAACATTCTTAACTAGTCACAATCAATTTTATCATTGTGTTCTAAAGCTAAACAACATATAGTTGATTAAATAAAATATTTTTTTGCTAAAGGTGTGGAACTACAGGTATGACATGAACATTTAATGTCTCACTGCACTTTTTTTTTTTTTATCTAATTTGAACAGACAGGTGTGTGGAGTCAGCACTGTGGAGCAGCTTTCAGTCCACTGCTGCAGTTAAGTGTAGCTCAAAATATCTCCTCTTTCTCTGTTTTGTATGCTTTATGGGTCATATAGTTTGTCTGTATTTATGCACACAGTGATGAATATGTAAATCTGTGAGGGTGTTGGTTCCTCTGGTCGGGTGGTAACTCAGTGAAAATCTACTTAAGTAATGAACAGAAGTGTTATCCTGGACGTAAAAAGGTAAAAAGAGACAGAATCTTGATGGGAAGTGCCTTTACAGGCCTGTTGATTGGAGTTTTATTTAATTATCCACACACTCGCCACCAGGGTCCTGTCACTCCAAAGGACACAATAATCTGATTTAAAGTCATTCCAGGGAGGCTCAGCCTACCCTGTCCTTTAATCATTGCATACCTGATTTCAGCTTTTACACCCCCTTATTACACACAAAATGTTCCCATATTTTTAACTTTATGGGCTAGTAATGCGTGTTTCCCAAAGGGCAGTGAATCCTAGCCGTTTTGCTAGGAAATTTTTGCCTTTAAATGTGATTAACACAGGTTCCCACACCAGCTACAGCCGGCCTGTGTTTGCTGAGATAGCAGACAACATTTGGGTTGGATTGAGCTTCTTTTTGTGGCATAAGCCTTAAGAATATGGCAACAATTTCCAAGATGTCCCAGCTGCTTATTAACTCAGCGAATGGAGAGACAATTAGTCAGACATGACGTAATGATGAGAGATACCTTGGAAAAAGTGACGTGATGCTAGAGAGAAGGAAGGCTGAGATGAAATTAGAAACTGGATGGAAGGACAAGATTAAGATCTGTTTGGATTTGATAAATCACAATAAGATGAATAACATGGGGAGTAGGGATAAAATTGTGCACAGTAAGAATATAAAAACAACAGAACAGGTTTGAGGAGGCTTCTGCCTTGAAGTAAATATATGCAGCTGTGCAGTCTCTCTTATTAAATCTAGTTCTGTCAGAAGTAAAAAAAAAACCATAATAACTCATTAGCCCTGATGTGACTGCTTTTATTTTATACATGTATTCTGAATATCCATGAATTACCATGGATAAAAATGCACTTTGTTTTGAAAGAACGTGCATCTGACTGCTTCATTAGCATTCAGTTAACTGCAATAAGCTCTTGACTTTCCTAAAATCACTGTGAAGTAGGTCATGCAGCTGATTTCAGATATTTTGCCCAGCATTTCCTTAAAGCCTTTTCAAATGACACACTTATGTGTGAGAATTTGTCCTTTGAACTGAGCACCACAGACCAACTTGTGTTATTCTTTGTAAAGTAAATATGGTGAAAGAAACTAGAATATTAAAAGTCAAATGGAAAACAAAGAAAAGTGGGGAACATAAACGTTTAACTGAAACTTGGTCCCTATGGGTGCTTTCACACTGCATCTTGAAGTGACCCAATTCTGATTTTTTTTGGACGTAATGCGACCTGTATCCGATCTTTTCATGGCAGTGTGAACAGCACAGGTCAGATTCTTTTTTGAATGAAACCCATATCCCATACGTATCTGATTCAAATGCGACCCAACGTTCAGGCCACATTCATCCGAACTGAACGTCACTGATTCTCAACAAATCTCACTATTCGGTGTCCTGATACACGCAAGCAAGAAGAAAAGAACCATGACGGACTATAATGAGGATTAAGTTGTTAACATGCTGCTCCGGCCGGACACAAACTTCAAATATGTAAGCTAAGCTCCACCGTTAGCCTCCATGTTTACTTCCGCAAACACTGAGCACTTCTTCTTTTTATGGCGGTTGGCAGAACACTGAGAACGCTGACGCTATGGCGCCCTCTACTGCGCATGCGGGACACTTTCAGGTCGTTTGCCTGTTCACACTGCAGAACTCAAACAGGTTGCATTTACTGGCAGTGTGAACGGCCCCGGCAAAAAAATCGGAATTGCCAAAAAATCGGAATTGGGCCACTTCAGGCTGCAGTGTGAACGTACCCTAAATCTAACGTTCACTAGGATTGTTTC